AGGACGGAATTTTGTGGTCTATACAGATCATAAACCATTAATTTATGCTCTGCACGCCAAGTCGGACAAATATACCCCAAGGGATATCTGACAATTGGATTATATTTCCCAATATACGTCGAATATCCGCTATGTAAAAGGGGCTGACAATATAGTAGCTGATACCCTATCGCAATCAACGATACAGTCAATTGACGCACAGACCTTGAATTTCGACTCCTTAGCGGAAGAACAAAAGACTGACACTACTTTGGCATCAATAAAAGAAAAAACGTCACTACAGTTAAAACAACACCCTGTGCCATTTGGTAACACTACTGTCTATTTGATGTAACACTACTGTCCTATTGTGATGTAAAAAAGTATTCAACATTTTCATTCTCTAGGCCCTATGTACCCACTAAGATGATTAGTGATCGTTTCTTTGGCCAAAAATGTCCAAAAAAACACTGGACACAGACTTGTTTAAAATGCCACAAACTAAAATTCTCTCCGTCGCATTCTCTAAGCCTGATGGTAGGTTCACCCACATTCACTAACTTATGGGCCCTTTGCCCGAGTGATGGGTAACAATACTTATTAACAATAATTTTTCACCAAAATGTCCAGTGAAACATTTCCAACATTCTGGACACAGATCTTTGGTTTCAATAAAACCACTGATAGAGGTTCCAGTTCAAACCTTTTCAAAATTTATAAACTTGTTAGACGGCATTTCTACAACCGCCTACCATCCATGTGCAAACGTTGTGGAATGATTCTCTAAGTCAAATATAACAATGACTCCAGGACTTGTATTTTTACTGTCATTGGTGTAGTCAAAATTAGGATGCACTACAGCAGAACTAGTTTTTGGGGTATGCTAACACTCCCTGGACAGTTCATGGAAAAGCATACCCTTCCAGACCGACTACCTATTTAGTCCAGGATTTTAAACAAAAATGGAAAACCTAGCTTTTACTCCAACGCGGGAGTTCTTTATGCGAAAAATTTAGACAGTTGTGATTACCTGCGAAAAGATGCAGTTAGAAGACCCAAAATTTCTGGTCCACCTCTAAGTTTACTTTTTTTTACACGATGCCATAAAATGTTTAAACATGTTTATCTTCAACCCAGCCAGCCTCCACCCGTGACCACTAAGTCTGGCAGATATGTTCATTGGCCTAGTAGATTTAAAACTAACATAAAAAAACTTTCACAATCTGTGGGGGTTATTGTAGAATCAGATTCCCTACATTTTTTAAATTTAAATTTTGTGGTCAGTGGGCTGATGTATTTTGATTGGTTGTAAAATATTAATTAGGTGTTGAAACTACGTCTGAAGGTACCGACCCAAATTTTGACCTCTAGTTGATGCCATAAAATGTAAACATGTTTACGAGCCTCCCCGTGACCAAGAGAACTAATAAAAACGAAACTTCGAGCGACTTGGTCAGTGGGCAACCAATTTATCTTCATTGGAAATTAACACAGCAAAGGAGACAAACTTTATCTTCAATACAACAAACTTTGTCAACCATCTCCAGGCTTAACGCTCACTCCCACAAAATATTCCATTCCACAAGAATCTCTGGTTAATGAGCGATAACAATCAGTGAGTCAAGAACAATACTTATTTTTCTATTTAATACACAAAAAACATCTGTTTAATTTTCCTATAAAAACAAATATAGCTAACTAAACCTTGTCATTTTCACACATACAGTACAGTAGCTCAAATTCTTTCAGTAACACACACACCAAAGAACTCTATTGTGTTTATCAACTTTTGCACTATATATTATGTATTTGTTGTGTTTATAAAAAAATATTTATTGTTGAACAAAATTCACATTTTCTTCTACTTGATTATTTCTCTTGTTGTTGTCTTTGTTACATTTGATATTGTAAAAATTGTAGAGGGTCAATTTTTATTTCTATTTATAACCAATACAAATTGGCTGACCCACTATAACATTCAATAAAACACAATACTAAAAATTTATTAAAATATGGAAAAGCTTGGTCTAGATTGAAAATATTTACAAATAATCCATAATATTAGGAATAAGCAGTTTCATGTACTTAAGGAATAAGTTAAATAAGTACACAAAAATAAACACAAGAATTTGACAATAAGACCTCTCACTGGATTTATTTAACTTGTACAGCAAGGTGATTCTCAGAGGATTAGAAGACCTACTGGGATTTATTATTGGTGGGTATAACCATAATAACACATGCTACACAGACAAAACTGTGTTGATGGAAAATTTAGAAGAAAAAACTGAAAGAACAATGAGAGCAGTGAATCAATGGAAGCAAGAAGAAAGGACTAACTATTAACTGTAAGAAGATGGAATGCATGGTTGTCAACAAAAGGGTCAGCCCAAGACGTGAGTTAGGAATCAAGAATGTCAAAATCAATCAGGTGCAGAAATTTGAGTAATGTAGTAGCAGATAACAGAAATCCAAAAGAGTATAGTAATTGTTACAGATACATTTCAGAAAATAAGCAAGGTATTAAGGGATCAGAAAAAACATAAGTTCTGGGATGCTATGTAATGCCTAACATCCTATATAGCAGGGGATATTGTACAATCTCATTACAAATATAAAACTTTATAGGAAATAAATCTTATTTCCAACACAATTACATACCCACATATATACCATATTGAAACACACCCAAACTTTATTTTCTACCCAATAACAAACAATATTTACAAATGTGCCAAAGAGATTCCATAAATTCCACACATCATTTAAATCAAGGTGTATTTTGGTTAGAAATTAACATTACAATGTGAAATATTTGATCAATCAGAGAAAACTGAAGCCCTATTTTTCTCAAGCTTACTTTTGGGAAAAATTTCTTATAAAAATCCACAGATTTCAACTTTCACCAGCAGAGATTCAACACACTCAAAACCATTCAAACACAAGAGAAGGCGTGGTTACATAGCTTTTTTCCTATCTCCCAGAGACTGCTAAAAAAATGTGTCAGCAAATTCAAGCAAATCAACAACAACAACAGCAGGGACGGTCAGTGAATCTTTGCTGACAATTAGTCTTTTCTCAACTACAGATTTTTACTGTAGACCAACCACATTTTTTTCCATGAACCAACTACCTAAAGACTTTAACTCAACTAAAGACTACTTTTACTCCTTTTTGACTCTTTTGAATTCATTTACAGATGTTTGTAAATACACGTTTTCTTTATTATTGTATGGAATTCAGACTTTCAGATGTTTAGTAAAAAAAAAAAAAAAAACCTGGTTCACCGAATTTCCTATGACTTGAAGTGACAGAGATGTGATAATACTGATGAATGCTGAGAATATCATGGACAGAGCATGTGAGTAACGAGGAAGTTTTAAGGAGAATAGGAACTACAAAGAAATTGTTAGCAAAAAAATGAAAGAGATACCTGAAATTTTTGGGATCCATAATGAAGACAGAAGCTTTGGAGAATTTAACACACACAGGGTATATTAAAGACAAAAAGTGAGAAAGTTGCAGAAACCCACTTACCAAATTTGAGTAAATGGATGACAGGACAAGCATCACAATGTGGGGCTAGAAAAGATCAAATACTACTGAAACTAATAAAAAACAGAAATCTGTGAAGTACCATGATTGCTCATGTATTGAAGAGATATGACACAGAGAAATAATGACCTGCTATTGTTTTTACATTTATCTATTTAAACAATTTTCTATCAATTTCTAGTCAGGTCCCTTATAGTGAAAGACTTGTTTTGCAAAATAATCCATAACTACAATAGTTAAATTTTAAAATAACTATAACAGAGCACCTTCACATGTTTTTAAAAATTGCTATCACAACGGAATGCAGATTTTATTTTGACTTTGTAATTCACCACTGAAGATGATCTTAGAAAAGGTTAAAAGTACTTGGGTTAAAAAAAAAACTACAGCACCTTCCTTGATGAATTTCATCTTAATATGAAGGAACTGATTAAGCAACTGGAAAAGATCATTATAAAAATAAGTAGACACAATATGTCTATATTATTCATTGAAACATGTTTGAATGAGAAAATATATATATATATATATATATATATATATATATATATATATATATATATCCATAACAATATATTTTATTATTTAGTCACATTTATACGTTTTTTAATCATTAATGGTGCCGCCTGAAAAATTTCCATTCATTATATTTTAGAAAGAGATTGTAAATATTTAAAAAATATATTTTGGAGCATCTCATTTTATTTAACTTTCATCTATAATTTTTTCGCAATCTCGAAAAGATTGAGCACTATAAAAGTTTATAGGCATATGTGACATGAGATATAATAAAAATATTCATAAAACTATTAATGGTTATAATTACAAATTGTTTAAATTAGATGCAATGTGAGATAGTTTTACTTGTAAAATTAACTCTATATTTGCTTTAATTTTTTTAAGTTCCTATTTGACTAAATAAAAATAATTTAGTTTAAAATGTATTGTCCTTATAAAAATTATAATTACCTCATAGTATAGTACATATACTGGTATTATAAAATGACTTAAATTCATTCAAACTTGTTGAAATTAGTTAATGTTTTGATGCAGTAAAATGGATTATATAACCAACTAAAAGTAATATTATTTTAAACACAATCCCCCTTTTTACTTTATTATTAATGTTCAAGAATAGTAAAAAGAATTATTCAAAATAATTTGCCAAGAATATTTTTTTAAATTTAGCAAATTTAGAACTACATAAAGATTAAAGTATCCATTTACCAAGGAAAAATTCTTGCAATTTCTGACATTTTATAGTATTAAATATAGGATATAAGTTCTACAATTCAGTTTTCAAGAACTCCTTTCTGATTAATATTCTCCTAAAATTATCTACAAAATAATTTGTTTGTATGATGTCAGTATAGACCTAAAGCATAACACTTATTTGATAGCAGGAAAATTTATGTAGTTATCCCAAATTACCCTATTCCCACAATGAATATCTAACATTGTTAATTATGTTGTCTTTTTTTCTTTTTTTTTTTTTAATGGTATTCTTTGAAGATATTGGAGTTAATCTAACTGGTAAGTCAATTTTATTTATTTTCTTTTGTAAAACAATATAACAATGACAATTACACTTTGAAAATCCCACTAGAAAATAATATAGTATAATAAGAGATGAGAGTGTGTTGCAAGGACTGTTTTGACATTGCTTGGTTAAAAAAAAAAAATAGGTATAAAAAAATAAGGTACAAAAGTTTTCAATCATTGAGCCAGGCAAGCATTTTTGAGAAGCAAATAACATGCTTTAGATCAGAGGTCACCAAACTTTTTTCACAGATGGCCAAATAACTGAGAGAATGACGAGCATGGACCAGTTAACCATTTTGTTCAATATAATACACTGAATGCATAAAAAATAAAGACAACAAACATTTATTTACCAAAAAGTTATCAAAGGAGACATTAGCAATAAAATAGTTATATTACATCCAGTATGCACATATCTGAATCTCATGAACTAAGCAGCAAAAAAGTTTAGTGAGATTTGTGAAACTGGTCTTTATCTTTCAATATTTGTTCTAGAATTGGTGCATCCAACCAAGAGAATTGCTTTCATCAGTCAACCTCATTTGATGTACTGATTTTTTTTCTTCATTTTTGAAATTGTTTGCTCACAGACATAAGTTATTCCCAACACTCATACCATACCAGTGGCAAATTTCTTTAACTTCTACTGCTTTTCTTAGAAACTTCATTGAAGGTACTTACACAAAAAGCGCTTGGATATCAAAACTTGCAAAAAGTCACTGAATTTTTTATTTCACTGATTTTCCTAAAACATTTTTATTGTCAAATGCAAAAATCAGATTGGCCAAATTTTGGCATTTTTACTTACATTTATATTAATTTTTTATACTTAAAGTTTAACTACAATCTATTGATAATTCTATATAAATAATTATATTTGTGGAACAGTGTGGCAGTGGGCCAGATGAACTGACTGGCCGAATCCAGCTCATGGACCATAGTTTGGTGACCCCCTGCTTTAGATTAAGGAAATATCAATAAAAATGAAAAAAAATTGGACACCCAAATTCTAATCTCTTTTGCCGTATGGTAAAGTTTTTCTTTATTTATCATGGTTTTTAAAAAAAATTAAAAATTGTTCATAATTGTTATTTACATTAGTCAGACTATAGTCCTCATTTCTGTTGTTATCACAAATTTTTAGGAAAAGGCTGGAGGACAAAATGGCTGAAACATTTTGATAATATCAGCAAAAATGAGGACATTAGTCTGACTGTAAGTAATGACTCCTCCTCATTCAAGAAATTCAGACAAAAAATGTTGATAACTGCTTTTGACTTATTTTTAATAATAATTTTTTTCATTTATAAATATCATAAAATTGTTCCTAGTATATATAGATCTCCTTTTGGATTATTTTTTTAGTTAGTGTTTTTCTTTCTTTTTTTTTCTTTTTTTTTTTTTTGCTATTTAATTATTATTTTTTCATTTTCTGTAAACTTTTTTAATATTTGTTCATAATATGTATCTGTTGTAACTTGTTTGATTAATTTAGGATTAAACCTATTTAAAGGCTTGAATTTTAAACAAGTACTATATACAATATTTTACAATCAATTTTCTTTTCTTAAACCATATCAGATACAATAATGAAAAACTTCAGATTTAATAATTGTTAAATTATGTGAAAATGTAAATATTTAGATTTTTTTTTATTAAATGCCATGAAACATATAAAATAAAAATCCATCTCAACAATTTTTTCCTAGCCAGATAATCAGTGAGTGTTATGATTCATTTCATAAATCTTCAAGAAGAAAATTGCATTTCTTTTTTAAATTAAAGATGGGCAAGTCACTTCAGTTGAATGTTAATATTTATATTAACATTACATAGCTATTATTTATGTAGCTATTAACATTACATAGCTATTATTTATATAGCTATTAACATTACATAGCTATTAACAGTTGTCCAAAAATAGTGTGGGCAGTATCATGAATAGCGACTTGGAATGAGAAATTACACTTAGTTGGCTTGATTACATATAAATAACCTTGGGAAGTATGAATCCATATCCTCCCTCAGCTATAGGTTAAATAGTTGAACTTGTATCTTGGAAAATAATTGTTATTCTAGAAAAGAAATTGTTAATGTAATATTTACTTGCAAAAAAAAAAAGAAGGAAATATTCTTACAATCCCAAAAATATGTTTCTGCTTTTTAAATAATCCACCAAAGGTTGATAAGCTGTAAAAAATTCAATCAATCCAAAAATAGTATGCATGATTAAAAACAGTAATCAGATGGATTTCTACTAAAGCTTTATACCTATAGGTATAGACTTGGTTTCTATATATTCACCTAGGAGAAGAGAAACACTGATTGAAATCAAGGTAATATTTTACTTCTCATTATATTTAGACTTGTATCTGTAAAAATGTGATACATACATTGCATTAAATGTTAAAATCTTTGCCTACCTGTTTGTACTGTTCTATTTATCTTGTAGATTCAATGTATCAAGGAATCTACCATGGATCAAAGAAACATGAAGGTGTGTCTTGAAAATACAATTTTTGTTTTTAAATTGCATACACTTGATCTTTCACAATCATCCTTATACACATTCAAGTTTGATTGATGCTACTTTAGTGTTGTCTACTCTACAATTTTTTAGCACTACCTTCTACTCTTTAGTAGACATTTGGTTCGCATATCACATTGTGACATAAAACCAGCAATTAGTATTCATTGTTGATTACTTTATCCACACTATCTATATCTATATCTTCAATATTGATCACTCTTAACCTACAAATATATATATTATACAAAATATATATATATATATATATATATATATATATATATATATATATATATATATATATATATATATATATATATATATATATAATGGATTCTTCTGGTTTCGACGTATGAGGATCTGCCAGCTTATTGATTCAGTTATGAAAGTTTATGCGATAATCTTAAGTGGCATTTAAGACCCGCTAGTGATTTACAAAGGAGGCCACATATGGAGCAGGTGTGAGAATTGTGAGATAAGATCACTGTTAGATTGGCTGACCTTTTAGATCTTGCTCTCGCTTCTTGAAGATGATTCAGACAAGCAGACTGAAAATTGCTGAGTCCACTAAAACATATTGATCTCCATTCTACCTGCTCCAAAGCTATTAAAAGCAACTTGTCAGCAGTTAATATACCATATAACACCCTTGATATATATATATATATATATATATATATATATGAGTTGTGATCAGATATAGAATGGAATCTAAAAGGGAAAAGGAAACATTTATAAATCTAACATGTTTCTCTTTTATTAAAGCTTCGTCAGAGAATGAAATATGGAGGAGAAAAAGAAAATTCTGGTATTTTTAATTTTTGTGTTGTTTGTTTTTCAATGGCTAAGCAGACCAGATTTATAAATATTCCCTATTCCAATTTATAAACTTTTCCTATTTGTTCCTTATTCTAAACATACATGCATGCAGGCACATGAAAACACACACACAATATGAAAAAAATCAACCTTGCACCAATGAAAAGTGCATATATAAAAGAAAAAATGAGAAATATAAACAGTCAATTGCTTTACTGATAACTAAATTGTTCAATAAATATCATTAACTTCTATATCTGTTTTTTGTATGAATGATTCATGTAATGTAAATTGAACTGCACCACATACTTGATATTAAAATAACTGATCTGACGTGCAACTTTTGGATAATAACTGTGACATTCCTCTATTTATTGAACAATTTAGTTCATGCCACATTGACTGAAAAACTTACCAGTACAAAAGAATTCACCTATTACCATATTAGTACAAAAATGCACAATCTTAAAATTTAAAAATTCAACCTCAGCGTTGCTACCGCACGCTCCAAAAATAAATTTCTTACAATTAACAATAACACATTTCTAAAAACATTTCTGATTACATCTATTCTTTCATTGTCCTGTTGTTACCGGGAAGTAAAAAACAAATCTATTTCCATACCTGATGATGTCTGTATGCACAGATGAAAGCTTGTAAAAAGATAAAAAAAGACCTTATGCACCTGGAATTTATAAACAGGGATCATAACATTCATCTACATGTCCGGGGTTAATGTACTTTATTAAATTTGTTTGCGAAGATGTATTCTCGCCATTTATATCATTAATTTCTATATCTGTTTTTTGTATGAATGATTCATGTAATATATATATATATATATATATATATATATATATATATATATATAAACATAACTCGTATGAGTGACGGTCAGGTATGGGTATGTTTTTAAGTGAATAACCTATGTCTACGCGTTCCATATTAGTCAATTTAAAACAGTGCTCGATAGGATAACCTAGAGCTTTATACATATAAATATAGATAACTAGACTCGTTTCGAAAAACCCTCGAATTTTTGATTTGCTAATCAAATCAATCTCGAGGGAAAAAAAGGTTTTAAAAAAAGAAAGAGCTACAAACATGAACTTCTGCCGACAAAAAAATCGCACAGATGCAGGTCTGAAGCCCAAAGAAAAAAACCCCGATACGAGTAACAACTAACTAACAAAAGAGCTCAATACAACCGTAGAGCAGACCTAGATACACCTAGTGAGCCAGACAAACCTACCTAGGTTTCACCTAAACGGATCGTCAGGGAAAGTTTGGGATCTGTCTGGCTCACTAGGTGTATCTATATATATATATATATATATAAAGGTTAATGGTCAGAGTTGAATCAGACCAGGAAATAGTAGTATTAAAAAGTGCTCAATACATGTGAGAAAAAAATATAAGTAAAAATAAGAATAACATGTAAAGCTTTTACCTTTAAAAATCAAGAGGTCAATTAAAATACACGACCATGGTTTCGACCAGACAGTCTCTTTGGGCAAAACTTTAAAAATGACCACTTTCTTTAACACTTTATTTCAAAAAACCACAAAGAACATGCTACATAATTATCTTTCAAAAAAAAAAACAACAGGTGCATGTTGAAAAACCAGACATATATATATATATATATATATATATATATATGATAAAGAACATAGGAAATGTTTATCAATCTAACATGTTTCACTTTTATTAAAACTTCTCAATCTCTGACAAAGTTTTAATAAAAGTGAAACATGTTAGATTAGTAAACACTTCCTATTTGTTCTTTATCTTATCAACCTGTCAGATTTCAATGCATATTTCATCTTTAACTGGGACAGCTTTCAATTGACAAACAGACATCTTTTTTTATAAATTTCTTACAAAGCCAATGAAAATCTGATAAGTGATATTTTGTTCTCATTTCACTTTTATACTCAAATTTCTTTTAATAAGTATCTTAAATAAAGTTACACTATATATGAAAATAATCTGTCTGCACAAACAAATTTTAACAGAAAAAGCAGATCATATCTAATGTAGTCTGATAAAACTAAGAATATTAATGGAAATATTGTCATTAAAATATGCAAAGGAAACAAGATTTAGCTGTTAATTAGATAATTACTTTTTCTTTTTGTTTTCATTTGTTTTAGACAACATGTAAAACTATTGGTACTTAGAAATGTTTTTCAAGCAATCTTTCTTGTTATGTGATAATGTCTAATTTTCTGAAATGCATTTACTGAATGAATTCATTGGTCTTTTCATTTACCATCTTCAGCTGATTTAGATGATGTTTTACAAAGAGCTTTTGACCAAGGAATGAAAAAGGTAAGTTATACAATGCTTGTTTTTCATCTTATGGCTACTATCTTTTCCTTAAGCATTTTGGAAAAAAAAAGGATAGAATTTGAAAATAAAATATTAAAATATTTTTGTCAAATAAAAATCCAAGATATGTCAAATTTGAAATAGCATTCATCAACAAATATAGAATTGTAATCAGAGAAAATGATTGGTGTAAAAATTTAAAAAAAGTAAAATGAAAAAAAAGAAAAATTATTAATAAATATTCATGAGATTGTACACCAATTTTTTGGTGTGTGTATTCATACTATTTTGTATAAGCATCAATTTTACTTTTTTTTTAAAATCAATTCACCACAAGCAAGGCAATAATGCCACTAAGATACAAGAAGCTACTGAGAGTGAAAGAGAATGAAAAGGACTTTAGAAAGAACTGGAAACCCAATCCTAAACAGGAATCAAAGAATAAACCTCTACTCCTGTTCATATAACTGGAGTGGAGTGTGAACCGGACAATAGGCAAACCTATCTACTTCTATTAAGGAAAGAAAAAAATTAAAAATTGTAAATAAAACTTCAGGGTCAGACATTAGAAGTATGGAGTTAAAGTAGACTTCAGAAGGAACTGGAAACCCAATCCTAAAGAGGAAACATGGAATACTTATATTTTTAATATGTGCATTGATAATAATGTAGTCTTTTTAATTATGTACAGTTTTTGCTATATAATTGCTTGCCAATGTCTAAACTATGCAGGGCCAGTGCTTACCCCACCTTTTCTACCTACATTTCAATATGTTACTGTTATATCGTGTATGTTGCTAAGTAAGCATTCGACTTATGTTCTAGTTGTTGTCCATTTATCATATGAGCTACCTGCTCATATGCAAATTAGTATAATTTGCATATCACTACATCTCCCTATAACGGAGGAGCCTTATGCCGCGAGTACTTCTTGTACTTCTTCTTGTGCCCTCCTGAACATCTTCCTTTATCTCTCTCCTTTCCCTTGGAGATCTAGATCTATCACATCTTTCCCTATAATCGAACTGTTCCTCTTGCATACTGTGGTCTTCCTCTTCTAACTTGTCCCATTCTACTTCTTCCTCCTCTAACTCATCCCTCTCTACTTCTTCCTCCGCGGTTTCAATCTTCTTTAATTTTAATCTTCTTTGCGTAGCTGCCACTCCACAATGTACGTCATCGTGTACACTTTTTATAACCTGTCTCCTCTGTGTTTCTGGGGGAACTACCAAGTCTCCCTTACATATTATCCCGTTTTCTATAGTCATTCTATGTCTAATTTCTTTGAATGGTCTTTCAGCCATTGAACAATTTCCCCAGCGATTCTGTTTTATCCTCAACATTATTCTATTTAACACTGGGTCATTTGTAGTTTCAGTAGCCATTTTATCTACAGATATTACATCGGTTTCTACAAGGTGCAAGAATGTGTCTTCAAATTCCTCGTCGTTTTTGTCCTTCTCTTCTCTATAAAACCTCAATCTAGATAAGGCATCAACGTGCGGTATCGTATTCCCTTTAACATATTCAATGTCAAAGTTGAACTCCATCAGTCTAGTTGCCCAACGTAATATTCTGGACGTTGTAACTCTCGGTAGCTCTTTTCTTGGGTTGAAAATAAATTCCAGTGGTCTGTGATCACTTTTCAACAAGAATTTTTTTCCCATCAAAAACTGTCTTGCTCTATCCGTTGTCCACACTATGGCTAGTGCTTCCCTTTCTATATTCGAATAATTCTGTTCAGTTGTTGTTAATCTCCTCGATAAGTACATTATGGGATGCCCATCTTGTGACAAAATACCAGATATGGACTGCTCACTAGCATCAGTAGTTAGAGTTATGTCCTTCTTAGGGTCAAAAATTTGTACTATTGGCTTTTTTGCCAGAATCTGTTTTAAGTTTTCAAAGGCTTTCTGTTGGTGTTCTAACCAAATGAATTCCACATTTTTTTTTCTTAACTTAGCAAATGGTTCTGTCAACTCATTATATTTTGGTAGATATTTTCTATAAAAATTTACCAAACTTAAGAAGGACTCCAACTCTTTTTTATTTTTTGGTGTAGCAACTTTTAGAATTTTCTCTATTAGTACTTTATCTGGAGAGATCCCTTCCTTTGATATTGAGTAACCCAAAAATTATATTTCATTACTGTTGGTTACACATTTTTTTGTATTTATTGTCATACCAGTGTCTCTTAGCTGGTTCAGTATATTTTCAGTTTTTTTTCTTTAAATCATCTTCATTTAAATCTCCAATACATATATCGTCTTGATAACAGATGGTATTTTCAACATTTCCTATTACTTTTTCAATAGCTTTTTGAAAAATTGCACTTGCCGTTTTTATGCCATACGGCATTCTTTTCCACCTTAACAGGCCTATAGGTGTGTTTATGGTTGTCACTTCTTTAAAATTTTCATTTATCGGTATTTGGTGGTAAGCTGATTTTAGGTCTATCTTCGAAAATACTTTCATTCCAACAAGTTTATGTAAAGCTACTTCCACATTCGGAATATGGTACGAGTCAGCACAAACTTTATAGTTCACCCCTATTTTATAATCTCCACAAATTCTCAGGTCACCATCTTTTTTTTTCAATACCACAATGGGTGATGCCCATTTACTTCCTCCTAGAGGGGCAGGTTCTAATAAGTCTTCCTTTATTAGCTTTCGCAATTTAGCTATTACCAACGGTAATAAATGCACTGGTATTTTTCTCGCTTCGTAGTAGGAGGGGGAAACATTTTCTTTTAATTTCAGGCTAGCTTCATAATTTTTTAATTTTCCTGTTTTTTCTATTTCTATCTCATTAATCAACTTTGTTGAATTTATTTTAACACGTCATTCCCCAATAGTCCATGCATTTTGCGGCAATTTGTAACTATAATGGGTACTATTTCATATTTTCTTTTTAGTTCTATTGAACCTTCAAAGTAACCCATAACTGCTATAATCGAGCCATCAAACTGACGTGATTGTACGTTGGTTTTTTTTAAAAACGGTTTTCCCATTTTTTCCCACAAATTTCTGGGTAATATCGTGACCTCACTACCTGTGTCGATTTGCATTTCAACAATACAGTCGTTGATTTTCACTTTTATTTTTGTATCTCCATTCTTAGATCCAGTATTTTGTATATTATCCTTTTTTACATTAAAAATCTGTCTATTTTCATCCTCTATTCTTTCCACATTTTTCGTTTTACATACTTCTTTGAAGTGATTTTTTCTTAAACACTTTGAACACGTCTTTCCAAAGGCTGGGCATTTTTCTTTTTTCATTTCATGAATTTTTCCACAGTATGCACAATTTTTTCTTTTTGTTTGTACCGTATATGTTTCAGCCATTATTTCTTCATAGGATTTATTTTTATTTTGGTTGTAGGTATGTATTAATTCCTGCTGTTGTATAAATTCTATACATATATTCAAGGGCATGTTTGTAAGTTGTAACTGTTCCATTAACTTGTATCTATGTGCTGAATTATGCATACCTTCAATTAATCTTAGTTGGATTAATTCTTCTTCCGTTGTCTGCTCTCCTGTTCCTAGTTTTTCGAATTCACAGTATTTACTCGCACTTCTTAACCGGTGTAACTATTTTACTATCGGTTCATCCACTTCCTGCTTCATTGCCATAAACTTGGTCCTTTCTGCAATCACCAGTCTTTCCTTTGGCCTCATGTTTCCCTCAATAACCTGACTTATTTCTTCGAAAGTCATTTTTTCTAGTTCTCGAGGGTAAACCATTGTAGCAACCTTCATAATCGCTTCACAACCAGCTGTAGCCATGAACAAGTCGGTGATTTCATTTTCCCCTCCTCTGTTTTTGTTGTCTTTCAACTTTTTACATCTTGCATTAGCAGAAAAGCAACGAATCCACATATCTACATACTCTGGGTCTTCAAGGACCAAAGAGTATCCTATCGGCGATGCCATTGTTATGTCGTGTATGTTGCTAAGTAAGCATTCGACTTCCGTTCTAGTTGTTGTCCATTTATCATATGAGCTACCTGCTCATATGCAAATTATACTAATTTGCATATCACTACAGTTACAAATTAAACTAAGCACAACTGACACTTAAAGGATGACAAATTTTCACTGATTTTGACAGCATTCTGGGGACTTTTTATCATACAAATCCATGAATTTTTTTTGATCATACTAAATCTTGAAAAAACAATATAAAATTCACTATTTTTTTATCCATAATGTTGAATGTGTTAATGTATTCAATTTTTTAACAAGAAAAATCTCAAGTTGATGATAAAAATTGCCACAAAACATTCTTGATTTATTTAAGATGGAATGATCTATAATTGAATGAATGATCTTAAAGCAATAAACATTGACAAAGGAGTATACAGTAATAGCGGTATCAGGAGAAAAACTATCCTTTTGAAACTCCGTTTTTTGGCAGATATGAAGGTTAAACGTTGCCAATTGTTTTATGTATTATAATAATTAAGTGCACTCTTCAAATATTTCTTATAGCTTTTAACTTTTTTGAAGAATGAGAGAAAATGTTTTATGATATTGACTTAAAAATTAATATTCTGAGCTAATATAGCAGTTAGTTTAACTGAAAATGAAATAAATTAAAATCATATTTACATGCAAACTTTCTTCCCCATAACAAAAAGTCAAAATATGCATCTATAAACAACACATCCATAAACACAGTCTATAAGAATAAAACTTCACTGTCATTTTTAGCATTTTTACATTTTTATATTATCTTTCAGATGATGATAACAGGAGGCAGTCTAAAAGAGTCAAAAGAAGCCATAGAATTGTCTAGGAAGGATGGTTAGTATTATCATTCAGCAAGTTATTCTCTAAATGCTTTCTCAACTGCTATTGTGTGGAACAGGCTCCCACATGTGTGCTTTCCTGAATACTACAATCTTCACCTCAGTTCAAGGGTTAGTAGTTATCTATCCTTATCCTCATAATCTTCATTTTTTATCACTTACTCTTTCGTTCATATCACACACTTCATCAATAACATTTTAACAGTAAACCTCTACTTTGAGTAGTTCTTGAGCTTTGTATTGGGTGAATTTTAGTATTAAAAAAATAAAATAATAGCTGGTAATTTAGTATCTGTCTATATTTCTGAGATGAAGTATTATGTACGCTATTTACATTATTCGAACTATTGTCCTCATCTTTGTTGCCATATTTATCACGTTTCAGCTGTTGTATGCTCCAGCCTTCTTCACAGGAGATAACTGATAACTGACATCCATTAGACATGGCACGTGGAACTAGAACAGTCTACCCCAGTGAGCAAAATAAAGGGTCCAGTTCAGCATTCCAACCACCTGAAGAGGGCCAGAGCGTACAACGGCAGAAACATTGTGATAAATATGGCAAAAAAGATGAGGTCAATAGTCCGAATAATGTAAATAGTGAGCTGGTAAAATATTTGAAAGATTCCGGGATTAGATAATACAAGTTTTCTCCCCCTTGTAATGTTTGCTCTTGGAATACATCTACTTATTTAGACACAAACTAAAAGCAAAACACATACACACATTTTTTTTATATATATATATATATATATATATATATATATATATATAATAGATATATATATAATATATCATGAAGAGAAATATATATATATATATATATATATATATATATATATATATATATATATATATATATATATATATATATATATAATGAGAGAGAGATAAAAACATGTTGAAAAAGATCTCAATCCAACCAAAGAAAGATTCCTCCAAAAATGTTTGGGAAGTGGGTCAAGACATGAAAAGCTTTCAGCACCTCTTTATATATGCATGCATGTATAATTTTGTTATCTGCTTAATATCTAATATTGTTTATTAACATTTATAATACACACAATTCATTAAGGTTTGCTTTTAAAATACATAAAAATCACACAGCTGATCTTTTACTTTATCAGAACGTTTATTCAGTACTGTGGGTTGCCATCCAACAAGATGTCAAGAATTTGAAGAAAGTGGAGACCCTGAATTATACTTAAATGAACTCCTTTCTTTGATCATGCAAAATAAAGACAAAGTTGTGGCTGTTGGAGAATGTGGTCTTGGTAAGTTGCACAATTATTTTTCCCATTTGTTCTACATAGTCTTTTAATTGCAATGTTATTGTTGCACCGGCCTCTAACACAAGGGAATTACACCGGTTCTCACTATATATAGTGCCAGTAATACCTACCCACCAGTAAGCAGCGACAGTTTCTACAACTGCCTAGCTGAGTAGTACCCATTTCCTACCTTTTGTATCTGTGATGTTAAATACACTTGTTCCTTAAACCAACTTCGACTTGATTTTCTTATTTTTACTATTGTGCCACGACACAACAGTTATCAATTTCTTTCTTGCTTGAGTAATTTAGATCTCTGCTCTCTTTATGAAACCATCATCATTACATTTATGTGACAGGTCAATAAATTAATTTTTTTTTTTTTTTAACTGGTATCACCTCATGCCAGGCAGTAAAGCCACTAAGACACAAAAGGTTACAGGGTGTGGAAGAATTAATAACAAAAGCATTAATAATGACTTGGAAGAGAAAAAAGTAATCAGGAGGACAGCAGATAGCAATTGACATTGTATTTAAATTTTCATAGATTAAAGTTGGCTGGAAAGCATGGAGCTGGAAGGGAATTCCACAAGCGAGAAGTGTGAAAAAAGAAGCTGTTTGCATAGAACTTATGGCTACATCTAGCCAGCTCAACTGTGAATTGATGAGATCTCAATGCTAGTCTAGTCAGTCAGGCAATCATGTATCTTTCAATACATGACTGACGAGGCAGATTTTTCCCCACAGTAGGTTGCCATTTTTTCTGTGGTAGACTATTGCCATCCAAGACTATAGAAGCCGGTTTGTCCTGCTATAGCTGGGGGGGGGGTGAGAAGAAGAGGATTCATACCTTTACCAAGGGTATTAGCAGGTAAGTGAATATAACGAATTTGACTGGAATTTGAACTCAGCTCTCCAATTCCTCAATCCGAGCCACTATCCATTACTCCACTGTACCATAGCAGAGTTATTTGTTAATAATTTTGATTTAATGGTTTATAAAAGATAGAAAAATTGACAAAAATAAGATCAATCTCTCTGATATGTTTTCTTTTAGATATTTGCATTATTTTGTTGCTTCTACTATCATTTCTAAAACTGCTTTATTGATAATTCTATTTCAGATTATGATCGATTGCAGTTTTGTCCAAAAGAAATTCAGCTAAAGTAAGTATTTTCTCATGAATCACTCAAGTTGGAAATAAACACCCTATCTCTGATATTGACCACTCTTCACCTATAAATATAGCAAATTTTAAACAATACATGCACATATATATTTGAAAGTCCATCTCTATCAAGTACATCAAAAACGTCAGCTAAGAAAAGTCCTTATGTCTTTATTCATATTGTCTTTTTACAGATATATTTTTTGTCATATCTGTATTTTTACACACACATACACACATGCACATATATTTTAAAGAAAAGAGAAGCTGCAAACGTTTTTGGTTATAATGTAGATTTTTTTTAATATATATATACTTTATTTTCCATATTTTTTGCTAGGTGTGTTTTGGGTCTTATAAGCTTCATCAGGCAATGAATGGTTATTTCCACATATTATTTAAAAGAATTAATTTTTTTCTTATGTTTTCTTATGTTTAACCATTGTCTTTTGTATGTGGTAGTAATCCAAATTGTTGTTGGACTGGTGGAAAAAAATCTTCCTTTGCTTAAGGAGTAATAGAAGAATTAGGATTGGTCAGAGAAAGGGGAAGGTATACAGTTTTTGCTCTTATCTTTTTATGTCCTCTGTATCATTTTAAACTTTTCCCCATATTTGTGTATTGTGTGTGTTTTTGCTAATATGTGTGTGTGTGCATGTGCGTATATATATATCTTACTTATTATAAAACGCAGATTGTGTGTGTGTGTGTGTGTGTCTGTTCGTTTATATATGGGATCGTATTTCCTACATTTTTCAACCGATTTCAACAAAACTTCACAGGACTACATAAAATTACCCGGCGGTGGTTCTGACAGCGCCAAAAATTGGAAAAATACAATTGTTTTTGCATGAAATCAATTTGAAAACATGATTAAGTGGCCAGAATGAAAGGGGGAAAACTCATATCAAGTTATTACTTATTATAAAACCCAGGTTGTTTGTGTGTGTCTATGTTTGTTTATATATGGGATCAGATTTCCTACATTTTTCAACCGATTTCAACAAAACTTCACTTTTTTTTGGCAGGTAGTGTTTCTTATTGTCTTGCACACTTTTTTCTTTATTTTTACATTCAGAATGCTTTAAAAATTCCATTTACAAGACAATTGTTTATAATAAAATTCTATTCAATCGGTAGACTCATAACGATTAAAAACAATGCTTTTGTTTGAGTTTGACCAATTTGTAAAAAAAAACAAAAAACTAATTAAGACATGTGTGTCCGTCAACCTTAAACAATAATCTTTGTCAATTTTATTTTTCAGTCTTTATGATGGTCGATACTTGATCTATCTCTTACTGTTATATCCCCGGGCAATGCTGGGCTCTACTGCTAGTATATATATATATATATATATATATATATATATATATATATATATATTATATATTTGTTTTATTACAAGGAAATAATATTTTTATATATATTGTTTTATTACAAGGAAATAATATTTATATATATATATATATTTGGTTGGATAGATGTGAGTTTGTGTTGTCTGACGATCGCTAAAGCGGGAAACCCAGGGTCACAAACTCACATCTATCCAACCAAATATGTTAGCTCTATCTCTGATATTGAGCGCTTTCTAATAAGTACCACGCATATAATATATAAATAATTATACATACATATATATATATATATATATATATTTATTTATATTTATATACACTTTTCACATATATATACACACACACACATATATATTGTTTTATTACAAAGAAATTATATACCCTTTCTCTGGCCAGTCCTAATTGTTTTATTACCCTTTAAGCAAAGGAAAATTTTTCCTTTGGTCCAAGAAGAATTTCAATTACTACCACATAAAGACAATAGTTAAACATAGGAAAACACTAGAAAAAAACTAATTCCTTTAAATGATATGTGGAAATAACCATTCTTTACCTGGTGAAGGTCACAAGACCTGAAACACGTATAGCAAAAAATATGGAAAATAAAGTATAATATATATTAAAAAAATATACATTATAATGAAAAACGTTTGCAGATTCTTTTTTCTCTTTATAATATACTATTTACTCTCATTGGAACAACTATAATCTCTCCCTTTATAAATAAATAAATATATATATATATATATATATATATATATATATATATATATATAATGTCTTTATCAGAAATTTATCTCTAACAAAAGTTGCAAATAAAGTGATGAAATGATTACAAGAATATATCCACAACTTTTTTTTAATACAATATGGAAATTTTTCTTAAATTTAATTATTCTTTGTGTTCACAAAATATTTGAAAGTTAAAATTGTGTGTATTGATTTATGTTTCTAGTGTCATTTTTAGAATTAGTGGAATGATGTTTTTTTGAAACAAAGATGATTATATGCATATACATGCATGAGTGTGTGGTGTGCAGGTGAAAATAGTAAAAGTAATAGTAGATTGTCTATTTCATAAGATCCTGGCAGTACCTTGGTCAGTCAAGATCAAGGTGTACTGAGAGCAACATCTTATATGTTATGCCCTTTTTGGACAGTGAGACTAGACTAACCTCTCCTGAGGAATGGTGTATGGAGGCCAAACAACAAAACACCACTCAGCCAAACTGTTAAAGTACAAAAGAATGCGTAATACATTACATTTGATGCCAGCTTGACAGCAAGAGTTGTCAAAAGGTGGTCAATGTTGACAGCCAACCCCCTCAGGGACATCACTTTGAATTTACTTTCATAGCCTTTTCCATGTTTGGAATGGTTATAAGGCAGCAGAGATTTAAAATCAGAATTTCTTTTGTGTAAAATTCATCACATATTAAACTCATTAACTTTCAACAGGCTTGTTCTAAATGGTTACATATATGGTGATATAAATATGTAAATGGTTACATAATGGTGACATTGAATTTTCTTTGTTTATAATCTCTATCCTAAAATGTTATTAAAATGTGTATTAAATCCAGATATATATTTCAGTGCAAAAATGACTTAAATAATTAATACTTTATTCTCTAATTTGATTTGCTAAAATTATTGTAAATGTGCATTTTAAGCCAGAATCATATTGAATGGATAAAATAAATATAAGCTATTAACTCATAAAGGTAAAAATATTATTTAATTTCTTATTTTTAAATTCATTCTTAAAACATGGATTAGTCAAATTTCACATCAAACTGCATTGAAAATGTATATTAAAGTATAGTATTATGTTGACTGCAAACAGATTCTGTTATTTATTTTATTAATTTTATAGTTTTATGAATTGATAAAGAAGTATCATCTGAAAAGTTATGCTAATGATAAGTAGTATGAATACTTATGAAGTAAAGCAAATTCCTTGGTTAAAAAAATTGAAATTTTATCATAATCTTTTTTTTTCTGCATCATCTAAAAACCAAAAATCTGGTAATCATTATTTCAATTCTCTATTTTGAAACATTATTCTGCTTTATCTGAATGCTGAGAATGACTGATGGCTTTCCTTTGTAGATATTTTGAAAAACAGTTTGATATTGCTGAAAAAACCCAACTACCCATGTTTTTGCACTTAAGGAATGCAGCAGATGACTTTTTGGAAATTCTGAGGCGAAACAAACATCGAGTAAAAGGAGGAGTGGTAAGAGACTGATTTGAATTTCTTTAAAATGGTAAAATTTGTAATCTTTCCCCATATATAATAGTATCTAGGTAATGACACAAAAACTTTCTGTATTTTCTTGAAGATTTGCAAATGTACTACAATGAAAAAAATTGCTTTGAAAATATTTTCTCATTAAATCACTTATTTTTTTAAATTTCTTCTGGATGGTCATAAAATATTTTAAACTTGTCTGATTTGATTATTTGCTTTCTATCTTGAAAAGCAATCAGTTTGTGATAATGGAAAATTCTAGTTTATATCTGAAAAATTTAGATATGAAAAAATTTGATTTGTTTTATACATTGTTTAAATAGTTAATCACTGATTACACAAAAAGTTATATTCCAAACGTTTTTATATTCATTTGTTTATAGTTTTATTTCATCTTATTTTAAAATCTATATATATAAAACACAATGTGATTTCATGTATTTATTGATAATGCAATCTGGTTTCCTTACATAGTAATAAGATGTTCCATTGTTATGATAGCAATAGAATATTACATAACTATATAGGGAGACCAGGGTGCTAATACATTGCTTATTATTTCTTAATACTTTTTTTTCTTAATGATTTAAATTGTTTCTCAATAGAAATTTGTGATCAAGGGAGACAGATTTGAATTGCTTATTGGATTGCTTGGAATTAAATGTAAACTTAGAGTGTGAAATAACATGCAACAACAGAGTTAATAAAATATATAATCCACATATATAAAAGACACACAGACACATATATAATGTAGATATAGTAGGTCAACAAAAGAACTTTGAGAGATAAAAAAACAACAAAAATAATAATATTGACAATAAGACTAACAATATTTATTTTATATTAGTAGGTCAGTATTAAGTACATAGATTGAACAGCAAAGTTTAACATTCATACCTGCAAAAACAAATGGGACAATTTTTCTCTTCATTCTGCTCTTACTTCCTTGACAATTTTTTTGTTTTAAAAAGATATTTTTATAATTTTAATAAAACCCAAACATATGAAATTCTCTTTTTTCCTGATAATTCACAAAAAAAAATACTATTTATTTTATTAGATTGTTTATTTACAAGGATAACTTAATATTTACAAGTTTATAAAAGTATGTGAGCCAACTATAATGCAATATTTATCACCATATTAAAAAGAAATTTTTTCATTCATAAACTTGTAAAAATGTTTGGGAATAAGAAAATTTGAATAAACACCATAACTACAAGTAACTGTAATTATAAATTTAGTAAAATGCATTTTCAAACATTTCTTTCATTTGCTCTCACCACGTAAACAGGGTGCAAGCATCTGGATTTATACTTTTGTCTTTAGAATTGACAACAAAAATATTAACTGCTATTTATTTATTAAATTGTAAATACATTTATCAGTCCTCGAAAAAAAAAAGAATGAATAAAAATTAAATTCATATGTTTGGCTTTTATTAAAATAAATAGTGGTGTCAAAAGAAAAAGAACATCTTTTTTGACATACCATATTTTGCAGGTACAAATGTTAAACTTTTCTGACTGAACATTATATAGTAAAAATTCCATATCAAAATTCAGTTCATAAATACATGTCAATCTGTTGATTGTTTTTGCTTAGCAGCATAGCAACACCTCTATGGGTTATTTAATGCCTAAATGTAAACATTTTGTATGCAATTTTATGACTTCAACTAGATATTTTGTACATAATTTTATACTTTCGGGGCAAACATATGTTTAGATATATAGTTCATAGATGATAAAATCTATTGCTGGTAATTTTACTGTAAAAAATATATATTTTTTATACTTTACTGATGTATTGATTTTCATTTTGCTATAAAAATGTATTACAACTGATTTTGTTTTTTTGTTTTTATAAATATATTCCTGGTATTTTTACCATAATGTATTTTTGTACTTTGTGAACCACCAAACAAAAATTAAAACACTATTTTCCCATAGCTGGGACCCTAACAGGTACTACCACCCCAGGTCAGGAACAACAGCAATTAAGAAGTAGTTCCATGCTCTTCAAAACTTACAATCTCTCGATCAGAGGTCTTGCTGCTAGATGTAGTTTATCATCATATCAATCTATGAAATTATTGATTTTCTAAATAATTGTAGATTAGTAGTAATTTTGTTACTGACATAATTTAGTAATTATGTCAGGTCACTCTGAGTGCAACTGGTATTATGTAATCTAGTAGTATTACCTGCCACATGGTTGAGTTATCAATGACTAAACCAGTTCACCCACCATGATTTTCAGATGAGGAGGCTGGCTGGATTAAAAAAAAAGATCTATCAAAGAGTAGATGAACCTTCTTGTAGGGTCAATAGCTATCTAGCACAATGGGAGAGACTGGACTATAACTATATATATATGTATATATATATATATGCAGCTAGTGCAGTGATGACACAGAATCACTGGGCAAAGGGTTTCCTAGACTGCAGAGAGTATCCCTGATGTAATCAATAGCCACATGTCTATGACCAAGATGTGCCTTCAAGCTGAGGACATCGGTTAAGGTTTGACTTGGAGTCGGAAGAGCTCTACCAGGTCTACTTGCTCAAAACATACTACATACACATGAAGCAATACCTTTCTAACTTTCAACCTAGATATGTGGAGGAAACTGGTTGTGCGCTCAACTACGACCACACCCAATCATGGGAATGATAATGACTTTGCATAAGTTAGGAGTAACATATAGCATGTTTGCTAAACCCTTACTTGGGATAACCTTGGTAGCTGCTCATATATCACTTTCTAGTACATATATATCCAAGGGGGTGTTGTAGAAAAGTTCTCAGCCTGACCAAGAAAATATTTTTTAAAATTCTGATGTTTAATCTGATTTCGAGAAGTGGGTTGAGCTGAGAACTTTTTGACATGTCTTTGTCTATCTTCAATTTATGATATTGACTAACAGACAGACTTTACTTTATCAACCTAAATATCTTTTCAGAATATATAGAATTATTTCACTTTTTTTTTAAAGGTTCATTCTTTCACTGGAACAAGTCAAGAAGCTACCGCTTTAATGAATGAAGGATTCTACATTGGAATTAATGGATGGTAACATAAGATTTTGTATTCTCTACTTACCTTTGCAAATCTGTTACTTCATTATGACTTTTTCAATTTTGAATATTTTATAGATTTTGTAATATTTTAAAAAATTATCACTTTAATATCCAAATTATAAGAAATGGTGGATACTATATTATTTTACTATTAAAATACTTCACACTCAAAAATAACTTAAAACAAAGCCTGTAAAATGGTATTTGTAATATAAAGTGTTTCTCTTTATAACTGTTTAGCTTCTTGTTTCCGTTTGCTTATCTGTTACGATTTGTCATTTTCCTCCAGTTATAAGTATAAACAAGATACCTATTGTTCCTACAGGCTTCCCCATTACCTGAAAGTAGAACATTCTTTTTATAATTCTGCTTGTCCCTCCCTTTTTTAGCATACTCATTACGCCCTGCCAATACTTCATGAATAATCGACTATTCCGTTTTGATTGCGTAGAAAAACAGAAAAGACATATCAGAGATGCTATTTGGTTTCAGTGAGAAAATGAAAGAAAGAAGAGAAGCTGGTATTTAATATCCCCTCATAAATAATGTCAGTCAGTCAGTTAAGTGCCACATGCTTGGGTGATCATATATCTTTCAATACATGACTGATGAGGCAGAAGATTTTTCCCTACAGTAGGTTGCTATTTCTTTCTACAGTAGACTGGTTGCCAACCAAGGCTAAAGAATCCAGTTTGTCCTGCTATTCTACCCATAGCTGGGAGGAGAAGAGATGGAATCATACCTTTCCCAAAGGTATTTGTGCATAAGTGAATATAATGAACTTGACTGGGATTTGAACTCAGCTCTCTGAGTTTCCATTCTGAACCGATATACATTACACCACACCGCACATAAATAATGTACTATTCCATTTTGATCACACATGAGGAAAGCCAGAAAGGGCATATCAAAAGACACTATTTAGTCTCAGTGAGAAAATGAAAGAAAGGAAGATAGTAATGCTTAATGTCTTTTTCAGTGGAATTGAAAAAGTTGTCAAGTTAAAATTTTTTCATTTGTACCCCTTTACTTCTTAAAATAACAACCAGTGTTCATATTTATTTTGTTAAAGTTGTTAAACTCAAATATATAATGATGCAATAGGGGAATTTATACAGATATTTTACTGTTGTAGAACTTGCCATGAGCATATTCAATCATTAACTGAAGAATTATGATTCATCAGAAAATTAAAATAGGAAAACCATGAAATTTTCACAGGTATTTCTAATTATTATGAATGATGTAAAGTGAAAGCTATTAATTACTGTTAATATTAATTTATATGAGAAAATATTTTAGCCTTATTATTAATTAAAAAAAAAATTGAGTGTTCCCAAACTCAAAAAGACCACTTTGCTACTAACAGAACCAATAGTAACTGCAGCAGCTTTCTAGCTTCTTTCTCTCAGTTTATAAATAGTATGGATGGTGGATTCAGACAAATGAAATGCACCCAAAATGGCTTTATTTCATTCATCATGATGAAACCATTTAAATTACATCCAGTTTTATCCATAACACACTTAAGAACACTTTTAAGTGCATATCTTGTTAATGGATGCTCAACATAAATTAAGATAAAACAAACAGTTCAAAGTAATGGAAGTTTGATGCTTGATAGTTCTTGGGAAAAGAACTTGACAATGCCATGCTCACTACACAAGATGTATATAAGAATGAAGGACACTTTACAATCACCATTTCGCTGTCACATTTGCAACAAAAAAAAAAAAAATTAAAAAATGGAATGTTTCTACAATAAGACTATGCAATATATACATATAACATATGCAATTCTTCTAAGGTTGATTTAAAATTTTGACCATTGTTAAAATTTAAAAGGTTTTATATAGAAGGTTTAAATAAAATACAAGAGCTTTCCTCTTTGCTACCTAGACTTTATGAATTTAGGTGCAGTCGTAGGTTAGTAGCAAGGTCTCATGATTTTACAGTTGAAATGGTTAGATGTAACCACAAGTTATGTGTTATACTCTGTTGCAATTAAGTCTCTTTCTGATTCATTCTGCATGCTGGCCGGATGTGAACACCATGAAGGCAGAGAAAGAAATAAAAAAAAAAAAGTTGTTTTCTGCACATAGACTTCATGCATCGCATCTGGTCTACGAAGCAAGCTCCGGCAATGAAAGTGACACTGGCTAAACATGAATGTTCCCACCGGAAAAGGAGATGCAGGTCTCTAAGAGTGACCAAGACAGTTGTGGGCTATTAGCTGACATGCAGGGTGCTGCTGTTGCTGCTGCTGCTACTTCCACCATCATCGACATCAACATGACCACTCCTCTCAACATTCCCAGGCTTGACTAATCGCCTCGACTATCCAGCTTTGACCTGACAACAACTTGACCTAGGCAAATCCAACTTTGCAAGCATGAAGCCAGTTTAACCCACCATCATGACATCAATCCACCAACACATGCAAAGCATTCCCTTGCAGTTGTCACCATGGCCCAGTTCTATAGAACAGGCCTACCAACCAATGAAAACCACCACCATAACCTTGATCAACCAACACGTGCACTGACCATATCCTATGACCTTGGCCAGGCCAGCACAAGAAATAGGTCAACTCCCAGCGCTTCTCTTAACTCTGATCACCATCCTGACAAGCGACCCCTGAAACAGACATTTCACCTAGCTTCGACATATCTGTATGACACTGTATATACTAACAATATACGTTGTTCAAAATCTAATCCTCATTATTCCTTTCTCTCACAACCAAATACTTATTATAACATATGCTAACAGTTTCTTCTTTTGCACTTCTTGCTTGCAAAATTCTCTTCTGGCTTCTTGCTTTCCAGTCAACTTTGAGCTTCAAAAATTTAAATGCAATGTCAATCATTATCTTCTGTCTTCTTAATTCTAATTCTTTTATTGTTCTCTTTCTTTAATAATGTTTTCTTTTTCTTATATTCTTTCACACCCAGTAACCCTTTGTGTCTTAGTGGCTTTATTGTCTTGCCTGGAGTGAAATTATTGAAAAAAATGTTTTTGTTTATAGACTGCTTATCATATCTTATCATGAATATTGCTTCTATAACAACTTGCTGCAAAAATGATGAACAGTATTTTTGCTTTTCCCTTTTTTTTTTGTAATTTTCTTTGAATTTCTTTCAGTTAGCAAAAAATAGGTAATAATTTATGGTATAAAGCAAAATTTCAGAAAGCAAAGAATATATGTATTTGAATTTTAAGAACAGTTGTTAACTGATGACTTAGGATATTTACATCTCATCATCCTTGTGAGGCACTGAAATATTTATGAAATATCCAAAATTTAAATCTCTTTAAAGAACCTATTTATAGAATACACATTAAATGGAAACTGCTTATAACCAGACTTTGCTTTGTTTCTTTTTTATTTCAGCTCATTAAAAACTGAAGAGAATATTGATGCAATGTGCTCAATACCAAGCAGTCATTTGATGATTGAAACAGGTAACAAAATATTTGGCTTTAAATTAGAAATTTGTATTTTTCTCATTTTAATGATGGCAGCATAAAAAAAATCAGATAATTTTCTCTTAAGCCTTTTAATCCAAATGGAATATATGCACACATGAAAATGTCTACTAATAATACCAATTCTTAGTTTCTATAAATAATCTGCTATGTCTCAACACTTTTTTTGATGTGGATGAAAATAACTGAAAATAAATCCCCCAGATACACAAAAAATGGTACAAAATACAACTTATCAGAGCCTTCATTATATTATCCTTTTAAAAAAGGCAGGCATCAAATCAAAATGACAACTGAAATAGAATTAAGTAGAGGGCAGTTGACCAATGTTTGAAGATTGTTGGTTGGTAGTGACATTACTAAGACATAAAATTTGGAACTACCAAACAGTCTAAAAAATTAAGGTGGTGTATCAGAGTCTGGCCAATCCTGTGTTGAAAGACTGAAACCCAAATGATTCCACTTATTTTAAAGATAGAAGTTCTGGTCCAAATGCAAAATAAATAACACAACTGTCCAATGAACAGAATTAATAATATTTGCAATAGAAAGAAATTTATTTCATAATATTTTCTTTCTTTTTTTCTTTTGTTTTTTGTCAGCACTGACAAGAATAACTGAAAATAAATAAGATAAATCCCCCAGATATGGAAAAAATGGTACAAAATACAATTTATCAAAGTTTTTGCCATATTATTTTGCATAACACCTTAAACACACTGGTAGTTCAATGTACCACATCTGACCACAATTTCAACTTAATAAATGCCAGTCTGATCAGAAGTGAATGCATTGAAAGTGTACTGATCTCACAATAACAATAAACCTCAGACCATGCCTGTACATGAAATCACCAATGAAAAGCAATAGTAGTACAATGCGGAATACAATAAAAAAACGCTCACAGTAAAAAAAAATTTTTTTTAAATTTGAAAAGCACTAAACTAGACTGATTCAGAACAGGATTATCAAGCATGTTGTCAATAAGATTTACTCATAAGATTAATCTCAGTGTGGTTTCAGGTCCAGTCATGACACTATTAACATGATCTTCTCACTATGTCAGGTAGCCAAAAAAGTGCATGAAAAGAACCAGTTGTATATTATGTTTGTTGACGTTACTAAGGCCTTTGACACTGTAAATCGTGAGCACTCTGGAAAGTTCTTAAAAATCTAGGAATCCCAGACAAAATGTTGAATGTTATAATCTCCTTTCATGACGGGATGAAAGCTGCTGTTGTATCTGATGGGGAATTTTCTGATTCCTTTGATGTTATAAATGGCATGAAGCAAGGTTGTGTCATGGCCCATTGTCTTTGCTCTCTTCTTCTCAGTAATGCACAAATGTCTTTGATGACATGGATACTAGTATTAAATTTCAATTTCAAACCAGTGGTGGCCTTTTCAACTATCAGCAGTTCAAAGCTAAAATACTTCTTCAAGCTAGCATCATTCATTATCTGCTGTTTGCTGATGATACTGCACTTATGACAACATCCCTAAAGAAAGCCCAAGAAGTCGTCAACCACTTCTCTGTTGTTATGCAAAGCTTTTGACTTTACCGTTAGCATAAAGAAAACAGGGGTAATCCACCAGCCGCCTCCTTGTCCAAAGCAGACTTGGAGTGTCAAACAACTTCCATCAGTTCATCAATTCCCAGACACTCCGATACAGATTGATTGGAAGAACTTGAAATATGTGAAATTATTTATATATCTAGGAAGTAAGATGAATGCAAATGCATCCCTTGATGATGAAATAACAAATCAGATTGGCAAAGCTACAAGTACATTTGGGAAGATTTGCCACTACCTATTGAATGAGAGAGCTATCAAATTGGACACCAAAATATAGCTTTATAGGGCAGCCATTTTGACCACACTGTTGTATGGCTCAGAATTGTGGACCCCATATAGGTCTCATATCAATCAGCTTGACATCTTCCACAAAAGTTGTCTCTGCACGATTTGTGGCTATACTTTTGATAAGGTGTCTGATGCTGATCTTGCAAAAAGCAACATTGGTGGAATTAAGACTTTCCTGATGCAGTCACAGTTTTGCTGGGCAGGTCAAGTTGCAAGAATGAGTGATGAAAGAATACCTATGGTCCTCATGTATAGCCAGCTTGACAGTGGACAAAGGAGTGTTGAACAGCTGTGGCTCAGGTATAAAGATAAGCTAAAGAGATAGTAACCCTTCAGCTGTCAATGTGCCTCATACTAAGTTCAAGCAAGTTGTCCTGGGTAGAAATAACTGGAGATATTTGTGCCAGGGTGGTATTGTAAATTTTGAAATTAGTCATATTGACCAGCTAAGAGATGAAAAACAACGGTGAAAAGCATTAGCAAATATTCCTGTTGTTATGTACCAAGATTCTCGCTGTTGCACAATGTGGACTTATATGCAGGTCACTGGTGGGACTGAAGAGTCACATACGACACAAACATAAAAACTGAATAAGATTGTCGGATCCTCATATATCAAAATCAATAGGAGCGGCTATCATTATATATAGGTGAACACAGAGGTCAACACCAAGTGGCAACAAGTCTATTTCATGCTTCAGCACAATCTTTATGGCCTGAAGATTGCATTGAAGCATGAAACAGACTGTTGCCACTTGATGTTCTTCTCAATGTTATTTATTTATACTTACATATGCTCTATCTCTGATATTGAGCACTTTTACCCATAAATATAGCATACCTTAAAACTATATATATATATATATATATATATATATATATATATATATATATATATAACAAGTGAATGTTGCCCTGATTCAAATGTCTGACCTGGAGGCAGAGGGACAAGTCATATATCAATTATGTCAGCATACTGCTGCTTGAACAGCACCATAAAGTCAATTTGCAAATACCAAGTTAGGTAGAATACACTGATCTTTGGCAAAATATACACATAATATAATCAGAGGTAAAAGGTATCATCTGTACATAAATGATCCTGTTAATTTTTATGGGTATGATACTACTATATAATAATATTTTCAAAAAAAAATGTTTTTTTATCATTGATTCAAATTTCTGCATGAAATGAATCTACTAATCAGATATAATGCTATAGTAATTACTTCTTGACTTACTGAATAAACATCAACCATCATAAGTTATTTCAGCCAATTCTTAAACGCTACACTTTTCTATAACATTTCTATTCCAACAATCAGCCAGTGCATAGCTTCATATTGATGTTAATTTCAAATTAATCCAAGTTTATTTAGCACACAAGTGAAATTACAAAAATAGTATTTTAATAATTAAAAATATATCTATACTAGAGTGTTCCAAAAGTTTATTTAAAAAAAAATTATGTGTGAGTATGTATGTATGTATGTGTATATATATATATATATATATATATATATATATATCTTTCATTAATTTTTCTGTTGTAATTTTATAGTTAATCTTAAGGTTTCATTTTATTTAAAAAAATAATTAGAAGATTACTCTTGATTTACCCTGTTGAATATAGATCTTTATTTATTATATTTCAACCACTGTAGATGCTCCTTGGTGTGATATCAGGCCTACACATGCTGGTGCCAAGTTTATCAAGACTACATTTCAATCAAAGAAGAAAGAGAAATGGGAAAAAGGATTCTGTGTCAAAAGCAGAAATGAGCCAGCAAATATTGTGTAAGTTCTGAAACACTTTTTTTTTTTTTTTATAAAGACATGTCTTTGGTACAAAACTAAAATTTTGGTGATCCAATAAAGGAATTCACAAGATTATCCTTACTGTTCACTGCAGTCCTTCCATATTTAACCTGTATGTTTATCACAGGCATAACATTCAAAATGTTGGCAATTTCCTTATCTTCCTTACATATTGAGAGCTTTAGACATAAAAAAATGGAATTTTTAATATCTACTTCATAAGTTTTGCTTTTATTTTTGAGTAAATTCAAATTATTTCTTGGCATTTTTATTTGAAGCTGTTTTTCCAAATATTTCACTATTTCTCCTATCTGTAAAATAACATTTTCAAGATTTTTAAAAATTTTATTTATATAATTATTCTGGTGAAAAGTACATTTAAGTGATGGTTATCAAGTTAGTCTTGTCTGCTATTGCACTCTCACAAGTCATCTTCTAATTGTAACCATGTGTAATAGAATAAACTAGTCTGGTACAAAGGTTGAGGAACTAACTTACTCTTTAGCAAGTAATCTTTAATTTGAAGTTTTCTTTTTAAACTATTGCTTCTTCTATGTGCCATGTCCCTTCAGGATGCACACTATCATAGCTCTCCACAATTTGTCCTCTGGAGCTCTTAGTAAAGTGTCTTTTTGCTATCTCTCAAACAGCTTGTTAAATATGTTATTTTCCTGTTTCATAATACTTTCCTTAGCTTTTGGAAGGCCTCTTCATTATTCCAATGTGTCTTTGGATTTTGGTGTTGCATTTTCCATCCCTTGTTAAAACACTTGTTTGATTTTGGTATCTCCAATTTGTAATTTGCATGTTGGGCTCTTATTTTTGCTGCCAACCATATATTCTATCTTCATACAATTGATGTTTAGTCCTTTCTTTTTGCTTCCCTTACTACCTTTTGTAGGAGTTCTGTAGATTCCATTCTTTGTCTACTATCAACACTGTTTCATCTGCATATCTTATGTTGTTAAGATTGTGGCCACCAATAATGAATCCTGGTAGAACTTCTAATTCTCTCAGGATTGCTTCACTGTAAAGGTTGAAAATATCTGGTGAGAAGATACATTCTTATCTCATCTTTCTATTTTTGTGTATATACTGAGTTCATTTTCTTTCTGCATGCAGGCTGTTTTCTCCCATTATAAATTCTGGATTATTCTAATATCCTTCCTAAATAAATCAAACGTACCTAGCAGTTTGAACAGTTCTTTGTAACATACTTTATCAAATGCTTTTGCATAATCTATAAAACACAGGTATTTAAATTCCTTTTGAATTTGTATTGCTCTTTCTGATATCATTCTTAGCATAAATATTGCATTCTTTGTTTCAGTGTCTATTCATCAGAATTCAGATAAGTTTTTATTATGTGGCTCAATAGGCTGATTGCATTCATTAGCGCCTAGCTTCTTAGGCAATGCTATGAAAATGGACCTACTTAGGTCTTCTAGCATATCATCACTGTCATACATTTCATTTATTATGTCTGTAATTTTGTCAATGCTGAAGTCATCTAAAGCTGCCAGTATCTCAATTACAATTCCATTTGGTCCTACTGCTTTGTTCTTGTTCAGTTTGGCTAGTGCTGATTTCATTTCACATTTTAATATTTCTGGTCCTTTGATATTTCTATATATTGCAAGTAAAAAGGAGGGGGGAATGCTAATTCAACAATCCACTTTTCCATTTGGGATCATTTCTGATGTATGTCCGAAAAATATCCGGCTGTTTTGAATATTATTGGTTATGCAACCTTCATGTAACTAGCAACCAATCAGAAGGGATCCTAGTGTGGGTGTTACTCAGCAATGAGATGTGATTGATTAAATTTATGTATTTGTGTGACAGTTTAACCTCACAGTAAATATGCATAAAGTTAGCTTCAACTTTGGACATTCATCCTCTCACACAATTCAGGTGGATTGGGGGGGGGGTAAATTCCATGAATAAAGTCCAGACAAAATTACTGACACTTAAATCTTGGCCAAGAAAGTGATCAATGTTTTGAAAACTTCTGAAAATGCTGAACTCATGTAGGTTGCAGTCAAAAATAAATTGGTAACTAACATCAAGGTTGTGAGTGGGCTAATTTTGAAAGCTACTAAATTTTGAATTTCATGAGTTTAACCGATACTCCCCAGTTTAGTCTCTCTCTCAAAGTTGACTTTGTTTATTTTAGATCTGAAGTCTTTGAACAAAGTTGGTTGAAATATCAGTTGAATCTAATCACAAGAGAAGAATTTTTAAAAATTGTGATTTGCAAATGACTGTTCATAATAATAAAGCATTTATTCAGTTTAGGTTATAAGTCTCAACATTAACCCTTTTTATTTCAGTGGCTCCATGTCAATTAGTTATCATCTGATCAACCTATATTGGTTTGTTGGATCAGTAACTAGCTTAGTATAGTCAGGAAACTTAAGATACTGGTCTCCAATCTGCCTTGACATGTTGCGAAATCTTCTGTCCTTTTAATAAGTTCATCTCACAAAGTATGTCAAGAAAGGAGATCAGTGGTTTATCCGTTGGTCATAGCTCCTGGCAATAACTGATGAGAGGTTAAAAATTGAACAGCTTATTTGAAAATACATATATTGGATCTTTGCGAAAATGATTAATGATACATAAATTTCAATTAACCCCACTCTTCCAAAATTAGCTTAGTCTGTTGCCTATCCAGTTCCAGAATTGCTATTTTGTAGTTTCATTAATTCAGTTCCCTCTCCTGCCCTATTGGCTAGAGCTTCTGAATACACCAACTACATTCTGAAGCCTTTGGTTCAATGTTGAATGTAAAAAAGCCATCAGGCTAAGAAGAGCAGCTCCGAGAGAATTCAGCAAACTACCTACAATACCTAATTTGCTGCAATTTAAGCAAGTCTGAGCAAAAGCACAGAAAATAATTAAGGAAACAAAAAAAAAGAATGCTGGCAAAATTACATCAACAGACACAAAAGAAACAAAATCTGTCTGGAATATGATAAAAAAAATAGCAGGCAAATACCATAAAACACCTATCAGTAAATAATTCTAAAATAACCAGTAAAAAGGATATCACTGACCAACTAGCCAAAGCTATCTGTAAAAATTCATCTGCCAAGAAAAGTAGCCAACAATTTCTAAAGCTCAAACAAAAAGCAGAAAAACAAAAGTTAAACTTCAAATCAAATAATACTGAGAGCTATAACCTACCCTTCACTCTTAAGGAACTAAATTAATCTTTAAAGAAAGTTCACAAATACAGCTGTGAGCCCAGATGATGTCCACTATGAATTCATAAAAATTATTACAATTGTATCTGTCTATATTTCTGAGATGAGGTATTATGTACACTATTTACATTATTCAGACTATTGACCTCATCTTTGATGCCTTCTTCAGGTGGTTGGAATGTCGAACTGAACCCTTTATTTCGCTCACTGGGATAGACTGTTCCACTTGACATGTTTAATGGATGTCAGTTATTAGTTATCTCCTGTTAATTCCCTTCTCCAAGTTCTCCACTAACTTAACCGGGTATTGAACTCACACTCTTTGGGGTCCTGTCACTGGATCTAACCAATGCCTTTATCCACTTTGCCATGTGTCCTTGAGGACATCTGCGTATAAATTTCTGGGTGTTATAAACCTAATGTTTTCAGTAACCATTTTTTACCATATTTATTCATATTGCAATTTTTGCTGTTATCATTGCATATTTTTACCAGAGCTCATATTGCAATTTTTGTTGTTGTTATCGCTTTTCTCTGGAACCCCTTATTACTGGTTCCCATATTGTATTCCTTTCTATGCTTGGCTGGCTCAGGAGATTTGTGGCCTAGCATATGTGCTGATTCCTTAAGTTTACAAATTTTCCAATGGTGTTCTTTGCCTATGATCTCAACCTGATCCCACAGAGGGCAGTGATCTGTTTTCTCCCTATATGTGGTCAGCCACACCTGATTTTTCCACTTCCCCTCGTGCTAGAGCTTTTTGGTGTTCTTGAAGCCTTACCTCAACGGACGAAATGTTGTAATAAATATGGCGGCAAAGATGAGGACAATAGCCCGAATAATGTAAATAGTGTAATTACAACTGTTATTAAAAATGTATAACATATGGATGTCCCAGAAATGTGGAGACAGTCATTCATCATCCCTATTCCTGGAAAGGGATGACACAGACAGCATTAACCAGTTGCCTATGTAAAACTATGGAGAGAATGGTCAATAACAGGTTGACTGGGCAACTGGAAACTAAAGGCTTAATCAGTAACTTCCAATGTGCTTTTTGAAAAAGAAACACCATAGACTACTTAGTATGCCTAGAAACCTTTGTAAGGAGAGCCTTCATTAACAAGGAACATCTCACAACAGTCTTTTTCAACTTGCCAAAGGTTTAGGATACAGAATGGAAATTTGGTATCTTGAAAGACCTGCATGAATTGGGCCTAAAAGGAAGGCTGGCTCAACTCATAGAGAATTTCCTGGAAGACTGATGATTTCAAGTTAGTATAGTTCCTATACTATCAGAACTGAAAAACCAAGAAGGGGTTCCACAAGGAAGTATTCTTTTGGTGATCCTATTCTGCATAAAAATTAACTCCATAGTTAAATCTCTAAGCCCAGGAGTGAGATGCTCCCTATATGTCAACAACTTTCTTATATATAGATCTTGATATATACATAACATAGGAACACAAATCCAACAATGCCTCAATAAAATACACAAATGGGCCACAGGAAATGTTTTTACATTTTCCAAAGCAAAAACTAAATACCTACATTTCTGCAAATTAAGAAAATTATACAACCTGTTTAAAATTAGACAGAGCAGAAATCCTAGTAGTGGAACAACACGACATTCCTCTTCTAAACTATTTAAAACTAAAATGTAGTAAAGTCCTCCAACTTCTGCATGTGGTAGCCCATACTGAATGGAAAGCAGATCAACAAACATTAATTAAATTATACAGATCACGTTTTCACTCAAAACTGAATTACACTAGTATCATATATAGGGTAACCAGAAAATCATGCCTAAAAATACTCAACACAACTTCATCAAGGTCATAGTACTTGAGGCTTTTAGGACATCTCCAGTGGATAGCTTATACACAGAAGCTAAGTGAAACACCGCCACTTTTAAGACACATTAAACTGGCACTACAATGTCAAAATAAAATCATGCCTAACTAACCCAGCTTACAGCAGTACCTTTAATTACTGTGATCTATTCCAACAAAAAGATAATACAATATAAAACTATAAAAACCATTGTTGAAGAGTTAGGGACCTCACTCTCTAACATACAAGAAATAACTGCAGCTAGTATTCCACCATGAACAATAAAGCAACCTGAAGTCTTGCTAGAGTTAAATAAACTCCTTAAACAAAAAGATGCACCTACAGTTTCAGGACATATTGGAAAACTACCCTAATCATACAGCCACCTATACAGATGGGTCAAAGTGTGAGGACAAGATAGGATGTGCAGCAGTAAGCCAAAATATTAAAAAGAAAAAAAAAAGCACCACCCAAAGTAAAGGTCTATTTGTACTGCAGAGACTTACACAATAGAGCTAGCTCTCAACATCAAATGAAAAAAAAATTTCTCAATATTTTCAGACTCACTATCCATCATAATGGCTTTGAAAGAAAAAAAAAATCCAACAGCCCACTCATTATCAGACTATTATGTAAAATGAACTCTACATGCAAACATAAAGACATCAAACTATGTTGGATTCCTAGCCACTCAGAGTTAAAACTAACAATAAAGCAGACTTAGCAGCCAAATCAGCTTTAAATAGGGATATAGATTCAACAACCAAAATCTCATACAGTGATCATAAGGAAGTCATTAACAAATACATTCAAAAGGAATGGTAACGGTGCTTGGACGATAACCCACATACTAACCTCTAGGAGAACAGAAGTCAGCTTTCAGAAAATCTCGAAAAGTAGTAGTAGTACTGGCCCACTTATGCATTGACCACACAAGAATAACACACTTGTACTTGCTAAACAACAACGATCAGCCTGTATGCCAAGCATGTGAAACAGCATACACTATTAAACCATGTGTTCAGACCTTAATCTCAAGATGAAAATGCTATAATTTAAACAACATGTATGAGATTTTCAAGAAAGTAATAGTGGATGACAATATTATTTCTTAAAATAGTCGACCTCTACAAAAAAAAATAAATCAATCAAATGGGAATGTCAACAAAATCAATTTCTCTACAAACTGTAAATCTGAAAATACATCAATGAAACCAGACCGTTGACAAAAACTCTTTACAAAAATACATCAATGAAACCTGGTCTACAAACTGCCATCTTACAAAGAATATATATTCTATTCATACAAATTTATCGTAAAAATCTTAGCATTAAATAACCCATTGAGGTTGATATGCTGTAAAACGAACCAAACCAGTTTCCTCTCACAACCATCATCATATTGAGACTACAGTTGTTACATCTTTTACCAATATAAGATTTATTTTCTGGTTTCTCTGTATCAAATAACATGCCTGTAATATCCTGATGCCAGCATTTTCTGTGGAATACCTGATGAGAGAAAAAAAAAAAAAAAAATAGTTCTCACTAAATAATCAATCAGGTATCCACAACCCTACAATAAATTATAAACCCCATAATCTTTTCAATAGCTGTATTGTATGCACCTTGCCAGGGCTACATAACTGGTATTGAATTCAGAGTTGTCCTTCTCCTAGACTGGTTACCAACCAAGGCTAGAGTTCAATCTTGCCAATTTCTTTTTCCATGCCGCTATTATGCAACATACACATTTTCACAACACTCCTTTTGATAGAATATTTTCATTTCTTGTTCAGATTTTCCTCTCCAGTTCAAGTGATTTTCCAAACTCATTTTCCTCAATTTAGTAATCATGTTAATCTCTTGAAGGGCTTCTTTATATTCATAAACAACAGATACCTCAATAACCAAGTGTTTCACAAAATAGATAAATCCATCTTCTGACTCTGCCTGTCAGCTAAATTCTGAATCTTATATAAACAGCTTTAATTTTTGTCAATTCTGAGCTCTCTTTTCAAATTTTTTTTTTCTTCTCCTTTTTCAAATATTCAAAAAAGTATTTTTTTTAATTTTATATAAACCAGATAATCTCCAGGCATTTCTGATCTACCAAATTACTTAGATTTGCCTGCCAGGCCATTAACATTAAACCTGAAAGGTTAAACCCATTCTGAATTTCTGCAAAGATTTCATTTGCTTGTAAAATTCACATGAGTGTTAGTGGCTGAGTAGTTATGATGTTTCATTTCTGACCATGACATCCAGATTTGAATCTCACTGTGGTCAATTTGCTAAAGTGACTTCTTGAGGTTATTGGCATGTAACACTATTGGAAAGTGTGAAAAGCTAGTCATGGGTTGACCCAAGCTTTGCAAGTGAAATTGGGTAAACAGAACTATTTTGGAAGTCATCAATGTTTCTGCTAGCACAAAGTCACAAGTCATTGACCTTGTTCAAAATATTGGTCATACTAGATTATGAGCTCTCTTCTAAAAACTTTAAGGGCCACTCCCCATAATTGTATTTATTTACTGATGATTCACTCAATACAATTCCCAAGGGCGACTCAAGGTAGAGGGTTACTTAGTGAGATTGTTGTAAGGACGTGTAGGATAGATATTGGCTAATCCTAGACTTGAAAGGACCAAGATTGGAGCTTCCAGGGAAGCATCCTCTTGGGAGTGTTCCATGCAGCTGTTTTCCACAGAACTGTTACCGAGTGGAACTTATTTTTGTCAAAGGAACTAGGATGGTTTGCCACCATTAACATGGCATGGCATGTCCTAACTGGTAGAACTAAGGAATGTAAATCACACCTGAGTTCTGTAGATGCTGAACAAACACAGATATGCCTAAGCAGCCATTTGAAATTAGGGCTGGTTAGCAGTAGCCAGTCATTATTATAATAGTGTCACATTTGCTACTTGTGACTAATACCTTCTGTCTATTGTTCATATCTCATGCAAGGATTTTGGCAAAATATCACATCACTAAAATCTATCAGCTCTGCTATAGTTTAGATTTGGTTTTCTGTGACTTCTGGCTTTCTCAACTAAAACTCATCATTTAAAAAGGAGATTCCAGACAAAATTAAGAAAGCATGCAACAAAGAAACTGATGACAAATTCTAAAGAGAATGTTACAGGCTGCTTTGAAAAGTGAAAGGAATTAGTATGCAAATTCCTAAGGGGGAGTATTTTAAAGGGGGACTAAAGTGCCATTTCTCTTGATATGCTACTTTTTTAATATATAGCTGAATAGTTTCTGAACAAACCTTGTATATAAATTATTTTTGCAAGGATATATAAACCTGGTATACTCCCCCCACCCTTTTTTAAAGCCATTGATACTTTAAAACAAAACTGAATGTCATCCTTTTATCAAATATTATAGCAAATTTTTTTTCTCTCTCTTTCTGACAGGCAAGTCTTGGAAGTTATGGCAGCAGCCCGGAAAGAAGATGCCACTACTTTTTCTGAAACTATTTTCAATAACACAATGAATGTGTTCTTCTCAAAATTATAATGGAGAAATGTTGATAATTTTAAAAATATATCACCAATGTTTAGAACCAAATAAAAAATTAAATATATTTATAATTTGAACATCTTTTCTGAAATCAATGAATTGCAATACAACTTTGTTGTATAAATACTATTTTGAAAATTCTATCATTTGGTTCACATAAATTTAAAATATTTTTGTGTGGGGACAAGTTATTTTCTCCTAAGTAAAGTTTATTTTGAAAATACAAAAAGCAAAACCAGTGCTTAATCCCTACAAAATTATGAAATTGGCAAAAAGAAAAAAAATTTTAATCTTTCTTTGACCAATATTTAGATTTTCAAAATTTTAGCATCAATCTTCATAGGCTATAAAGAAAAGTACATCAAAAGCATTACACAATTTACCATAACCAGCAGTTAATTTTTTGTGTGAGCAAGTGAGGGATTTTTAACCCATTTTCTTTCATTTAAAAAAAAAAAAAAAAAAATCATTTCTCATTTTCTAAAGTTGTCTTTATTAACCCATTAATTGTGGATGACAGGAATTTGTCATTTTAGCCTCATGAAATGATTGCGAATGATGAAAATTTCTGCTGAGTGGCTCAGTATTGGTTAATGAACTAGTCTGCTTGACCATTACTTCTAAGTGATTCTCATTGGGCATCCCATACTTTTAGGTTTGTACTAAACTAAGCTTAGTAAATGTGGGCACTTTGGATGGGACTAATGGCTAGTAAGCTCATCCGGTTGACCATTGAGTATTACGTTTGATCCTTACTGGGTGTCTCATAATTTTCTGCTAAAGACAAATGATGGCAGAAATTTCTGCAGTAATTAATAGATTAATTCTGCCTTTTCATTCATTCATTTTTTGTAAGGCATTTACTTGACATGGAGTTTTTCTTTATCAATTATTAAAACTGTAGCATCTTTGCTAAATACAGAGTAGCTATATGAAGAGAACAAAAAATCCAAAACTTCTTTTTCCTTTAAAAATAAAAATATTTACTTTCAAGTTTTATTAATCTAATGTTTTAATGTTGCAGAAAAAAAAAATATATATATATATATATATATATATATATATATATATATATATAAAACGTATATAAGTATTCAGTGTTTTATTAGAACAAAGCATACTAAGTATTTCCGTGCCAGTTATTTATTTAAAAAAAGAAAAAAGTCGAATTGGTGTTTTTTGTTTTTTTTTCTTAGCAGCAGCAGTTAATGTTGACTCAAAATATTCGCCACACCACTGGACAACAGTCAGTGTCACATTACGAACGTTTGTTAATATCAAAGACATCATGTGTTGAATATTTTCTATAGAGAAGTCCCCTCTGCAAATTAAAAAAAAGAAAAAAGTCATTAAATATTATCATATATGGATAAAGAATTTTTTTTTCTTTCTTTCCTGCAATGGTAAAATTACTGCAAACCAAAATGTCATTTTGTGATTTCTGACAAAACTATCACAAGGAATAATTTTTACCAATATTCTACAACAGTTAAATCATATCACTATCAAACAAACAACAAAATACTATGATAACAAAAATATAGCAGAGATAATTAACCGATCAATACCTTGTTATAAACATGTGATTATAATTGCCTCCTGTATTTTCTTACGTCTGTTTATCAAAATTAATTTATATTACTGCTGTTATCAAGCAAATTACTATTTTCCACTCTAAATGCAATGAAAGTGGAAACCTTAAAGCACATTAAAGGAAATTATATATCTATGTCATAGAATCTTAACTTTTACTTTATTAGGTCAGCCATTATTCTGCCATTTTAAATTTACAAGAGCTATTTAAAACTTTCAAACCCCACACAAGACTTTCATTTAAAGTAGGACTATATTTTTAAATAAACCCAGTCAGTGTTATATAAAATTATATAGAGTTAAGAGATTGAAAGTGAACAAAATCGACTCAATTTTTATCAAGCAGCAGAAATAAAACAACTATAAAGCAATTCCATTAGTAATTGTGTGGTACTCACATGCATGCTAAAATTGAAGAAAAATTAACCATATATTTAAATAAGAAAAAGGACTTACTCTGATATTCGATTTGAAATATATCTGTACAACATAAAGGCGAAATGCCAGAAATGTTGCCATAACCAAATGCTATGTTCTTTAATGAGTGTCAGTGATAACCAAACATAATCTTCAATTTGTGACCACATTTCTGGCGAGAAGTCATAAACCTGAAAGGGACAAGACAAATTGTTTCATATTGAATGGCGCATCAAAAATATATGAAGCTGTCTAAATAATGATAATTAAATACTACTGCTGCAAAAACAGAATCAGTACTTTCAAACATTTCATCAGATGACAACTGGCATAGTTTGGGAGTTGAAACATCATTACTGGGCTTTTTTGGTTTACCAAGATGGATGGTATGGAAGGCCAGAAATATATAAATGTTGTCTGATCTTGATGCCCAATATATTTCTGCTTTCAGTTGAAGTTTATTCAGGTTTGTTGAGATTAAATTAGTGATAAAACTTTGCTATCCAACTTCAATAGGAAATTATATAGAAGAATGTCAAAAAATAAAATACAAACATTTACCAATCCAACACTGCAATTCTATTTTCCATAATTGATATTGAGGCTGTTGCACTTGTTCCATCAGCTTACAGAGTGTAAGTACATTCTTTGAAAATTTCATCAAGCAACTTAAAGCCACCCTTGCACCTTTTCAATAACAACATATTTGAAGATCCCAAATGGACAATAGAAGCCTAGTCAGAACTATGGGTTGGGTAAAGGGCTGGATTTAGGCTTTAAGAAGCCACTAGGCTAATAAAATTTGGAGGCCTCTTAATTACATATGTTCACACACACACACATATATATATATATATATATATATATATATATATATATATGTATGTGTGTGTGTGAGAGAGGATGCTTTTTTTTGTGTGTAAAACATGAAACTAACTAAAATTTTTAATGATTTTGAAACTCATCCAATTTATTTCATTAGCAACTTCACAATATTTTTTTTTTATCAGAAATGCATGTAGAATGAAGGGCCTGTATTACACTGAAATTTTAGTATTCACTAGCAAAGCATCCTAAAAAACTAAGATAATTTTCATCTTGTTTTGCACTATTTTGTCTAATTTGTACAATATTGAGCAAAGTAAACAAAATTATGCAAAATTAAGTTACATCAAAAATCTATATGTACATAAAAAAGATGCATCAAAATCTAAATGGGTGCCCCTCAAGAGGACCCATCAAATTTAAAAGATCTACTCCAAATACTCTAAAATGTTTCAAATTAATTCAATGGAGCCCAATTAAATCTGAAAATAAACAAATCATCTGTTCTTATGTCTTTATTTTTCTTAGTTTTATCAGAAACCCAAGACTAGGGGGTCTCTCTGCTCTTCAAGCCCCTGGGTTGCAGCCCATATGTAAATTCAGCACTAAGTGAGAGACATGGTAAAACATACCAACTATATCACCAAAGCCACTCTTTTATCACATTGGTTGTGCATGAGGTGACAGTGATGTGCAGCAGAGTAATACACTTCTGATGTTTGTTTAATTAGATTCTGGTAAATCTGTCAGGCTAAGAATTTTTCAGTACCCTACCATTGTGTGTAAGTATTTATAGGAGTTAGATATGTAATTAGTACAGATTAACATAAGCAGAGATTAAATAAGTCATTTTTCATAACTGTAAGGAATTCATACAATGATATAATACTGGGCTCCAAAAAGGGGCATAGCATTTTAAATGAATTGCTTTAGTGTTAAGTTATCAAGAAATTTTAACAGAAAAGCTTACTCTTCATACATTTAGGGATACTAGAATATGCAAACAGATTGGATTATATGGTCAAAAAGAAAAGTCTGCTGGGGGTGTTGTGCATGTGGCAAATTCGACAATACAGATTGTATTTAAAATTGTTATAACAATGTAGCAACATCTTTTGGTATTTAGGTAATGATAATCTCAGTTGTTTCCTTATGTAAGGACAACATTCAGCATTCATTGACCAAGTAGCCAGTTCTAATATCAGATAAAATTTTAAAATCTTTTTTTCAAGGAAATAGGTTTCTCAAGTCCAGTTACTGTTCCAGTATTAATGAGTGCTTCCTTTCTAACATTTCATTTGAAGTAGTGCAGAACATTAACATGTCATTACTTTCTCTTCAAGTTACATGTGCAATCCCCATTTTAGTTGTTGTTGTTAAAAGTCCTTAAGTGATGTTGTTTTCTGTTATTTGGTACAGTTTTTTGTGATTCTGTAGTGCCAGTCCACAATGTTTGAAGAAAGACGATCCTCACTAAAACCTTTCATTCACTCAAATTCACTTTTAACTGTTGATCTGAGAAAGTGGTTGTATACAACTGACAATTTAAACATTTCTGAATGGGTTTGATGCCATGCATAACATCCATATAAACATTTTGATCTGACAAGGATGTTTAAAAAGATGACAAGTTTTTAGGTTAATGTTAATTGAACAGATAGTGTTAGCACTATGACAGATTTTCAAGAGACAATATAAATTGGTTACTTTTGTAAACATTTTAAAAATAAACAATTTTATCAATAAGAGAACATACTATGTGTTCTAGTTAGAGAAAAAAAAGACTAAAAATCTATTCACACAAAAGCTTATGAAAATAAGTTATTTTATGAAATCATATATTTCAAGATGTCATTTCAAAATGGCTTTATTTTACAACTGCTAGATTATTCAACTAATTCCTGTATAGTTTGTCATTAATAAAAAAAGTTTATGCAATGAACAATCCAGTTAAAAAAGTAGTTTTCTATGTTAATGTACAAATTCACCACAAAGTAAACCTAAATGCAATTATCAAAACAAAAGAAGCTTAATAGATCAAAATGAATTAGAAAAAAAATAATTACCCATTCTTTTCCTTCTAATAATTTTGTATATAACCATTGTCTCTGTACCTTTGTAGTTTCAGCGAAATAGACACAACACTCAAGGAACTTATTCCAAGAGAGCATCAAATAGGGACCTAAATTTTTGGATACAATATTATAATAGATAACTCCATTTTCTTTCAGCCATCTGTGAAAAAGGAAAAAAATAATTATTAGTGCCTAAATACAAATGTTCTTTTCAAATGAATAAATTAGAAGAAAGTATAAGTAAAACTATTATTACAGATAGCAATTTAAAAAAAAAAAAATCAACTACTTTATTGATAAAGACAACGTCATGGGAAGAATTAGAACTTTTTATACAACTTGATTACCTCAATGACATCCACATGTTTGGAATTTTTAAAAATAACTAGCGATTGAATTTGAATCAACAACTCTATTAATCTAGTTCAGCAAAGTTTATACTTTCTCTAAATTCCTGTTGGTTGTAAGCAAATATCAATTAGTATCAGCCAGTCATAAATCCATTTTATCAATGCAATGCTAAAAAAGGCATGAATGCATTTTTTGTGTAATGAGAAAATAAATTTTTGAATACTTCACACAACATATGCCCTTTTTTTTTGCATACAATATATTTTGAAAAACTGGGGCCTAACTTCGCAAAAGTCTTTATACCTAAATATTGTCTATATCATTCTTAGAGATAAGTGTTTTTTTTTTGTTTTTTTTTCGAATTACACCGAGGATTTGTATAGAATCATTATACAGGGATATTTTCTTTATACAGTGGGGAAAATAAGTATTTCATCCCCTGCTGATTTTCTGAGTTTGCCACCTTACAAAAATGGGAACAATCTAATTTACAGGGTAGGTCCATCTCAAAAGTGAGAGATAGAATATTAAAAAAAAAAAAAAAAAACAACTAGAAAATCACATTAACTTTTGAACATTTATTTCTTTTATGGAAAAAAAAAATTTCACCCTCTACCAAGCAGCAATGATTCAGGCCCCACAGATCAGTTATGTGAACAGGAGGCACATAAACTAGTCCTATTACTCAAGTATTACTCCTAATCAAGTACTCATTACTTGTATAAAAGATACTAATTCACAGAATCCTTCAATGAACCAGAATCTAATCTCTCCACAATGGCCAAGATGAAAGAATTATTTAAGGGCATCAGCGACAAAATTGTATACATGCACAAGACTGGAATGGGCTAAAAGATGATTGACAAGCAGCTAAGTGAGAAGTCAGCTTTTGGTGCGATAAGAAAATGGAAGAAACACCAATCGACTATCAATCTCCCTCGGTCTGGAGCTCCACAAAAAATCTCCCAATGTGGAGTGAACCTGATGATGAGAAAGGGGAAGAAACAACCCAGAAATACACGGCAAGAGCTTGTTGAAGGCAGCTGGGACCAGAGTCACCAAGATGACTATTACTAACACACTATGTCGTTGTGGACTGAAATCATGTGGTACCCACAAGGTTCACCTACTCAAGAAGGCACATGTACAGGCCAGTCAGAAGTTTGCAAATGAGCACCTGGATGAGGGTTGGGAGAAACTGCTGTGGTCAGACAAGACTAAAATTGAGCTTTTTGGCATCAACTTGATTTGCCATATTTGGAGGAGAAAAAAAAAAAAAAAGCTGACTTGGACCCCAAGAACACCATCCCAACCATTAAGGGGTAGTGGAAACATTATGCTTTGGGGCTGTTTCTCTGCTAAGCGGACAGGATGATTACACTGGGTTGAAGGAAAGATGGCCGGGGCAAAGTACAGGGAAATCTTGGGTGAAAACCTCCTTGCCTCAGTGAGGACACTGAAGATGTATTGTGGATGGGTGTTACATCATGACAATGACCCAAAGCATACGGCTAAGGCAACAAAGGAATGGCTTCAAGAAGAAGCACATTAAGGTAATGACCAGTCACCAGACCTTAATTCTTTAGAGAATCTGTGGAGGGAGCTGAAGCTTCGAGTTGCCCAATGACAACCTACAAACCTTAAGGATTTAGAGAGGATCTGCAAAAAGGAGTGGGCCAAGATCCCCCCTGTGATCTGTAAAAACTTGGTAACCAATGACAGGAAATGTCTGGCTGCTGTGCTTGCCAACAAAGGTTTCTTCACCAAATACTGAGTTATGTTTTGCTATAGGGTGAAATACTTATTTTTTCAATATAAAAAAAAAAAAAAAAATAAAATAAAAAAATAAAAAAAATGTTCAAAAATTAATACAATGTGATTTTCTAGAATTTTTTTTATATTCTATCTCACTTTCATGATGGACCTACCCTAAAAATTATAAACCATTCCTATTTTTGTAAGGTGGCAAACTCAGAAAATCAGCAGGGATTGAAATACATATTTTCACCAACTTTAAGAGGTTTGATACTGATTTAATAACAATCAGATTATTGGTACAGAAAATGGAATTGACAGAGTCTGAATTTCAGCTAAGGTTATAGTAACACTAATGTTCTTAGGACAGATCTGAATTTGCCTCACTGAGTTCTATCCCATTATCACATATCTTGGCAGGATTGCACATCATTGATATGCTACAATAGTTCACAGAGAAAAGTTTAGATAAACCACTCTCTCATGACTACCTTACTTTCCCAGATAGGTAGCGCCAACAAAAACGTTACTCTTACAGTTAACCTTGGTAAGGTGCAATCTTAACTTCATGAATGTTAGTTTGAGGAAATAAATAGAGCTTACGATCAAAATAAAATTGGTTATATTTTGATTGGATACTGCCACAAAAAATTTAAATAGTATGAAAATAATACATTCTTTAACATCTATATGGATTCTGCAAGAACACATATCAAATGTTTGAATAAAATAAGAACTAAGACAGATTCAACTTTACTATTATAATGCTCACGAGCTTTTAACATTTGTTGAACCTAAAAATAAAAAAAAGATTTAAAATGTTGCTTATTTTCTAGCTCTCAATGATAATGTTTACATTTTTGTTCAGTGTTAAGACCTTAATTACTTTGCAAATATAAAAATTACAAATTAAAAAAAAAAAAAAGAAAGTTATTTCAATCATTTATTTCCAAAGATATAATGAAGGATAATGTTATCTTTGAACAAAATTTCCTCTTTAGGCATATTAAGAGATCTATTCTTGTCAATGTCAAAATTATAAAATAAAATTTTTTTATACCTTTATGTTTAAAATAAACTTAAATGTTATACTTGCAAATATTTCAGAGATACTTACACATGAGCTTTTAATGAATAATATATAATTCGGTGCCATGCCTGCTCTGTATAAGCTAAGATGCCATAATTTTCTAAGAAACGAACTGTATAAGAATCTGAAAAAATTTTATTATTAAAAAGATTTTCAACTTCCATAAGAAATAAATGAAAAAAATGATACAAAATTAACTTTAAAAAATTTATGAAAAAAATTTAGCCTAACATAAAAAGTGATAAACCTTAATTCCATAAAAAAATATTAAAAGCTTTTGTTCAATAAAAATTTATATTAAACTTTACTGAAGTAAAAAATATAAACATAATTATGCTTTATATACAGATTAAACATTTATTCTGAAATATTCTGTTTAAATTTTGTTAAACAAAATTTAGTAAAATTTCAACAGAAGAAAAAAATTAACATCTTGAATTTTTGTGATAATGCATTATCAAGTTTTTTTGTTTTTTTTTTACTAACTGATCACCCAATACAAAGCCCAATGCTGAATGAGATTTATATGATCTTAAAGAGGAGGAGGAGGTAAGTAATGCAGATTATATAAAAGGTAGGAAAAATAATGGGTGACCATAAACTTGAAAGTCTTTTCCACAATGTAGCAGTTCTTGGGAAGAAGCAGTCAAAATAGAATTTCCTTCTTATAATACAAAGGGAACAGGGTTGATTTGTCTCAGTGTACATAGTATGTCAGGTGTTAGTTATGAAGGTCCAAACTGGTGCAACTAATGAACATTATTGATGTTTAACTTGTATTTTTTCATCTTAAATTTCAATTGCAAAAAAAATTAGTCTTTATTTCTGATTCACATGGTTTACTTATAACCATAAGATTACAGGGATTAGCTACAATGAAAAGCAATAGAAAGAAATAGTCAAAAGTAATAATGATTAAAATATTTATACATTATTTTCTTCTATTTGAGTTCAGGAAAATTTTTTTAAAAATAAATAAATAAAAATGTGTTCCTACTTTTTACACTTCCGTTTTTGAAGACATCAAATAAAAACAGAGCAGCAGTGATTGAAAGTAAGTAGACTATCAACAATGATCGAGGAAATGGAGGTTTTGTCATCTTGTCTTGTAAATTCTACAATAGTAAGAAAAAAAAAATGTACAAGTGCTTCACAAAAAAATCTATATTACCAGTAAAGACTCTAGCAGTTTTAGAAAATATAAAGAAATTCAAATATTGGATAATTTTTCTCACATTTTTAGTAATTGTTCTTTACAAAAAATTTAATAATTCTTTAGAAATCAAGGAAAAATTGCATTGTTACACTATAAGCATACAATTCATTAGAAACAAATCATAGGATTAATCTAAAATTATTTCTACAAGAAATTGGCTGTTTAAACAATTTCAGTTTATGCAATGAAGTGTTATGAACAAAATATATATATATATATATATATATATATATATATATATATATATATATATATATATAAAAAACTCATTGTTTTATATCATTCTCTCCCTAAAATAATAGGACATAGAAAAAAAGGTTAAAAAGTGCTTTGCCTGCTAGCACCTGAAAGTGGAAAATTGCAGTGTTCTGTTATAAAAGAATATATGAATGCAGTTTTCAACTCCACAAACTAATCTTTTCTTCAGCAACTTCTACAGAATAATTTTTAGGCTATATCAACAATAATTGGTGTCTGAAACTACAAAGTTAATGTTTCCTTGTGAATATTTTCCATTAAAACTGTTTAACCTCTACAAGCAGACCTTAAATTCAGACTTTTGTAAATACTTCAAGGTTACAATATTAAGTAGCCAAATGCATATGAGAAACAATAGCAACAAACAGTGGCATAGCAGTAGTCAACTGCTAATGCAAATATGCAACATATACATGCAAGACAACTTGATGCTATAAAAAGCTTCTTCATTTTTTTTTCTAACAGCATTGTATAAAAGCAAAATACTTAGGAATTAAAAAAAAAAAAAAGAAAGAAAAATATATATATATATAAAAAACATTGCACAACAGCATACAATTACAGTGTCCCAAAAGAAATCTACTACATATTTTTCTTTTGTAGATTCATTTATGGGGCACCCTCTATAATATACAGGACAGAAATAAAATAAAAATGATTATTTAGGAATAACTCCACAATAGAGGGTAATGTAGCATAGTATAGTACAAGCCTTGTGCACCAATGGTAGAGAACTGTAAAGTCTATGTTCATTAGAGTGCTGAGTGAAGTCACTTCTAGCTGGGCTGACAGTTGGTGACTTCCATATAAGAGAGCTCAGAAAAACCAAGTAAAACTTGACAGCAGGGCAGAGACATCAACCACCACCTGAATAGCAATCAATTACTTGTTACAGCATCATATAAAAAAGCAAGAGCTTATCAATAAAAGTCTTTTTTTTTTTTAAACCAATAATTATAACAGCAACTGTCCAAAGAAAATCAAAATGAATAACCTTTGTTATAGATCAAAATCAACAACTATCATCCTTGTATTAAACAGTGGTGAAATGTTGAGGTGTCTATGCCCATTTGTCAACATTATTTTTGTACTGCTTATAAATTTCTTTTGGGCTAAGTTAATTACCATCTCTTTGTAAGAAAAACAAAATCAACTGTTTTGTGATCTCTTAAATGAAATATTTTAAAAGTAAAAATAAAATTTTATAAATTTTGTAGAATATCTGTTTATTTTCATAAATGTTTCTACCCATGTATTCTAAGAAAACACTTAAAAGATTAAAAATAAAATTCAGTCATATTTTAATAGAGAAAGAATGAATAAAAATGTCAAAGCTCAAATGAAGTTAAAAACATTATGTTAACAGATCAATGCACGCATCGCATTCAAAACTATTATATTTTAAAATCTTTAAATTTATGCTGTTACTAACTGCAATATTGGGAATATAATTTTTTTTTGTTTGTGTGAAAAAGATTTGTGAATGATAGAGAAAAAAAAAAAAAAAAGTACATACTTTGCATATATTAAAGCAAGATTCTTTTTTGCCAACACCAACAAGGTTTCCATTGATCCCAGAGAAGTAATGCAGAGTTTCATTCAAGATTGTTTTATCAACCTCTTTAGATATTTTATGCCACTTTTCCAACAGGTGTTTCATCAAGATACTAAAAATAAATAAATACAACTGTTAGATAAACAAAAATAATCATTACAAACATTACAAAAAAAAACAAACTTTAAACTAAACTATGTCACTTCAGGACAGAAAATCATGGCTCTCCACAGATCAGGTTTTTGTTTTTAATTCTTTTAATTTCTCTTGAGGAAAAAAAAAATAGTGAAATGGTTTCCTATTGCCTTCTCCATTATTTTCAATTCAGAGCTGTCCTTCTAGACTGGCCACCACCCAAGGTCAGAGAACACTGCCTACTCTACCATTTAATCCATAGCTGAGTGGAAAAGAAATCAATTCATATCTTCCCAAAAGCATTAGGTCAAAAGTGAATGTAACAGATCAGGGCTATTACTTGAACTCAGCTTACCGATTTCACTTTCCAGGCCAATAACTGTCACATTATCTACACATCTATCATTTCAAAACATACAAATCAATAAAACTGAGATGTAGGTCTTTATCAAAATAATAAATATAATACAACAGTTTACATCTCCTTCAAAAATCAATGAACAGTTACTATTTAACAACTTGCTTAATAATAAATAAAATATCCAGAAAAAGAAAAAAGTAATTTTCAGGTGCATGTTTTTGATATTTAATTTTTTGTAATCCATTTCCAACACTGGATTTTTTTTTTACCATTCAGTTATTGTATCTATCAAATATTTAATATTTCATTGCAATCAACATTGACAAGGGAGTCAAAGAGCATACAGTAATATCAGTACCAAGAAAAAAAAAAATTGTCCTTTTGAGACAGATTTTTTTTTTCTTGTGAGTACATGGGTTAAATTTTGCTATCTTGTATGTAGCCTAGCTCTATATATACTGTAATATCATATAGTTCTAATCATTTCTTTGTAAGTTAGCATGTGTGTTATGACCTGGTATTACCTCAGTTAAATAATAGTTCATTGTTTTGATTACAAGGAAAGTAAATATAGAGATGCTGTTTGGTTTTAGTGAGGAAAAAAAAGCATACATAATATGAAAAAAAAAAAAAAAATAAAAAAGATAGAAGGCAATAATACGCATGTCTGTAACATCAGCTTTAATAAAATAGAAAACTATGTCAATTTTTTATCTTTTCATTTTTACCCTCTTACTTCTTTAAATAATGATCTACATTCATATTTATGATTGTTATTGCAATATTTTGTTAAATATTTAAGGATGCAACAAGGGAATTTCCATGGGTATTTTATAGTTGTGGAACTTGCAAGGAATTTAATCATTAGCTTAACCCTTTGAGCCCTGCGTTCCTGAACAACTTGAACCCTTCTGCCTAAGCTCTTGAGTCAAAACTCACAAATAATTGGTATGTAATGTTTTACGGTAGATATAAAAATATTTACAAGTGTTTATCCATGGTGTCTGGGCATTAAGTCATTTTTCTCTACCACTGTTCAACCGGTGACTGGACATTACATTATTTTTCTCTACCACCAGTAAAGTGGTGGTCAGGGCTTAAAGGTTTAAGAATTATTACTCATCAGAAAATTAAAACAGGAAAATTGAAATTTTTCACAAGTACTGTTGGTTTACTCATATCTTTATTATTTTTTTTGCAATTTTTCTTACATATTTTAATAACAAATAAAAGCTTATTTTTTTAGTGTGCATATATTCCTAAATACACACACACTAAAAAAAATATTCCCAGTCAAAATAGAAGGGGATTTATATGCCATCAATTGAAATAAAAATTAAAACTTAATTTTAAGTAAAAAAATGAAATGTTTTAATGCTTTTCACATTTTAGTTTTGTAAAAGTTTTGTTTTTTTTAACAGAATAAAAAAAAATAAAAGGAAATGAACATTTAAATTTGTTAAAATTCAGAAAACATACCCAGATTGTTTAAGGTGCTTTGTATACATTTGTCTCCACAAATTGAAGCAGTGAGGGTCCTTGCCTAAACATGTTATCAGGCATGACAGCAACTGAAAAAAAAAAAATAGTTTACAAAATTTTGACTGCTCAAGTGTTCACAGATCTTAATGTATTCATAATTATAAATATAGGTATACAATTAGATAATTTAAGCTGTCATCTTAAGAAAATAAATTAATTTGCAATGAAGTTCAAAATCAGTAAATCCTTTCTTAAAAAATAAGATTTTATCCTTTAATTTCACTATTGTTTCAGAATATAAAAAAAATGACAATGTTTCCATTTATTTCAGTTTATAATATTGCAAGTTTAAATAATTTATAATAACAGTAAAATCACTCAAACAGTTATCCTATAACATCAGAAACAAAGTTTTGTTGGCCATGAAATATGTACTACAGGGAGTGGCAGAAATAGCCCCCACATAATAGTAAAACAGTGGCAATGGTATCATCTAGCTAAAGTCTTACCAATATGTGGGAGGTATTTCTGCTACACCCTTGAAAAAAATAAAAAAATAAAAATATCAATGTTTCATTAAAATTTTTATATTAAATATTGATCAGTATGGTTGTTGAAAAGTCTTAAAAGAACATTTTTGATATTAATTTTTATATTTTTGTTTTTAATAAATATTATTTATGTATTTAATAAAATAGAATATGAAAATCATTTTTTTCAAAACTTACTTCTGTTTTCATGGCTTGCGAGCAATTGGGAGTAAGTCTACTCAAATACGATGGGAAAAAGTATCTTAATTTCTTTTCAACATTATTTCCATAAGCAATAGCCTGAAAATAAAACAACAACATTATATAATAACCCACTATAATACTTTGTGCGAATCTCTTCCCAAAATATATTCTTAAAATTTTGAGTTAATAAATTGCATAAAATTAAAGCTAATTTTAACAAAGTGATTTTCCTAATATTAAAAGAAAAGTTTTTTTTCATTTTACTTTTGTGAAGATATCGTTCAAGTTAGGGACAGTTTTTTTTTTATCAATCAGTTTCTTTTCAATTGTAAAATCCTGTAATTTATACTTAAAAAAATTAAAAAAGAAAATAATTTTTAAATCTATATTTTAAATCGTGAGAAAATGTAAAATAAAACTTTTCACAAACCAAATTTATACTAAAAAAAATATTACTCTCTAATTAATCATTATCAAATGTCAATTTTACTTTAACTTTAAAAAGAAAGACAATGGATGTAAACAATTTCATGACAGTTATCTTTCCCTCTATCAGTAGCTTTTACAGTGCATTTAACATTTTGTCATACCGATGTCAAAGCACAAATAATGGTTTAAGTTTGTTCATGAAAATAAGCTTAGTTCATATTACATAACTTTTACAGTTATTTTTTAGCATGTAACTATGAATACTAAAAATATAATGAATTAAAATAAGGTTATTTTACCTTTTAAAGAGATAGGACAAGTGCAGGTCTTGTTCATATTTCTTGGTAAAAGTTAAGTTTGTTGATAAAAGCAATGAACAAGAGTGAAGCAATCTTTATATCTTTATTCATCAATATATATATATAAAAAAAAAATAGCAATGTGCCACAAATAATTACTTTTATGAAAAGTGACATTACCATAAAATAATTCTTATACAAACAATTTAAATATGGGCTTATTATAGGCTATTTATTACATATATTTATAGCCTATGGGCTAAATAGCTAATGAATACAGTAAAAAAAAAAATTTCCAAAATAAAAATGAATAAAATAAAATCCACAGAACTTGCCTTTAATTTTGGATATAAACTTTTCAATTTCTTCTTCAAGTCAACCTGGATATTTATGTTCGTGTCATGAATCAGATCAAAAATATTGAAGTATTCTCGAGGAGAAATAGCGCTAAATGCACTTGAATGGTTTTTGAATGAACTGGGGGAAAAATATATTAATATAAATAAATTGAAAAACTTCAATTTTAGATTAAAATATCACATTAAAAAGTCAAGTCTTCAGTCCTTTAAGATAAGCAAAAATTTATATATCTGAAAAATGTTTGTCACTTATAATAAAAGCTAAGAAATATATATATATATATATATATATATATATATATATATATATATATATATATATATATTAGAGTTGGTCGGTTTCAGTTTTGTTTTCCTCGATACCGTGGTTTTCAATTCGATTTTTCGATTTTTAATTTAGTATTTTTGCTTTCTAAGGAAGCCATTCTTTTTTGTGTAATGATAGCACTTCCAGTCGATATCTGAAAAAAATGCCGAAAACTCGATTCACAGGTACTATCTCACAATGTACGCAAACAGTCAGAAAAATAACTCGCTCTCCAACAAATGTGGTAGCGAAAATACCCAAATTTTTCCTCCCTGATTTGAGAACATCAACTGCTTTTATTGGCTGAGCATTTTTTCCATTCGTCGACAGCTGGAAGAGGACAATCAAATTTTGCATATCAAAATACTTTTATGATGACTCCTGCAATGGACTTGTTTTTAATTTAAATATTCTGTCTTCAGCATGTCATGTGGAATACGTGCCCTTTTTTGGGATAAGTAATTTTCTTTTTCGCCACATTTTCCGTTGTAGGATACACGCAACACGCTGTTGCTTGGTTTGATGAGGTAATGGCAATTCTTTTGTGGTACGCCAGTCAACTATTATTGGGGATTTGCAAATAAATTTCTTCTAAAAATGCGAGATATTTTTTCCTTAAATAAATTTATGTTTTTATCTACCGAATATTCTAAAATTAAATATCAAAAATAATTAAAAGCTTTTAATTTCATTTTTAGAATGTGTAGATTTCCAAATCTGCAAGTATCACCTGTTCTTTTTTAGATACACATTTTAAAACTGAAATTAAAAAATATATTATTTTAATATATAATCTTGAGTGTATTCGCTAGATAACAATATTTATAAAAATAAAATTAATTAATTTTCCTTGTTTAGAAGAATTTTATAGGCAAAATGGTAACAAACACCCACCAAACACTAGTGGCTAAAAAAGAATAATTTTTACTTTGGGTTTTGAGAAAAATAACTTGCAGTTTTGAAAATATGCACATTTTAAAACTAAGATTAAAGTTGCCGTGTAGTGTTGATTTCTATATCCAAAGTCTATAACTATAAATCCTCTATCACCAATATTAGGTATCCTTCCCCTATAGCAAATTTATATATATATATATATATATATATATATATATATTCGCCTTCCTTGGGTCACAGAAGAAATGAACATCTTCCTGGTTATAGTTTAAGTTGTTTTCTAATTGAGAGTGTACAATTCCAAGAATATTGATAAAGATTGGTCACTTTGATTTTGCAAAACAAAGTAACGTGTAAAATTTAGTCTTAAAAAAAAAATAAAAATCATTTCACATTTTCGGCTAGTCAAAGCAATACCGTTTTAACTCAATGTAAAAAAATAATTCCATGAATAAAAGCACATACAAATTTCATATTTAGAAAGATTTTATTTTCTTTCCAGCCACATGAATATTTTTAAGATTAGATCAGAGATAAACGAGAATTTGCGAGTTGAACAGACTAACTTGCAAATTTATCTCAAACAAAATCTGATATTGACTGGAAATGCTATCAGTACACAAGAACATGAATGGCTTCCTTAGAAAGCAAAAATACTAAATTAAAAACCGAATCGAAAACCACAGTATCAAGGAAAACAAAACCAGGAACTGATACCAGAACATAAATTGCCAAACCAACCATTTATTTTAGTGATATCAGTAAAAAAAATGTTTGTCTTGAATAGGTTTCCTAAGCAAACATTTAATGAAGTGCTATATCAATGATGCTTCATCATTACTCAAACTTTTCTTTCTTGTTTACTATACTTAACAGTAAAATTAAAATTATACTTTAATTAGTGAAAACATTTCGAAGAATATATATATATATATATATATATATATAAACTCAAAAGTTTTAATTCAAAATATTTTCAATAATAATTCTGCATATACTTTTCTGAAATTGAAGTGAAATTATGAAAGCTTAGTTGATTCAGTAACACTAACAGTATCTATTAAGTAAAATATTGTTCTTGGCTAATTTTTTAGCTTCTATAAATCATTGACAAGCACCTATATAATTGTTAATATAAAGTAGAAGTATACACTGATAAACACCTGTATAACCTTTAAGTAAAAGCACGTGTGACCAATTTGAATTACTAAATTGAACTGAGTGAAAGAGTTTTTTTTTTTTTTACTCTGCATTTGAAACTAGGTTTTTTTCTAAAAGCCAACTTATTATAACAAGTTATCTCTCTCCAAGAAGCCATCCCGCTGCCAATGTTCCAACTTCCAACAATAAGTCTTAACATATTTCTAAATATTTTCCAGTTTAATTATGTATTTGCTAAAAGAATAGAAATGCAAGATAGTATAATGTTCACATACCAACGTGGATAATTTTTTTTTTTAAATGTGGATAAAGTTGGGAGTTATTTCCCCTTACATATATCATCACGTGACAGGTCCCTATGCAAGCAGCACGGAATTCAAAAATACTCTTTTCCTTCTCTCCTCACGGACCTGCACAATGATATGACGAAGCGCTAAAGTGGGAACATAATTTTTGAGACTTGCTTTCTCCCTACTTCTGTCACATGCATGCACACAAACATTTTTTTAAAGTCAGTTGGAACTAAAAATCATAGTTTCTATATGTTTACATTTTGTCTTTTGTTGCCTTTCCTTTACATTTCAGGTTTGCATATTGCTTTGAGCATTATTATATCTGAAATACATAATATGTAAGTATTTTACAGCTACTTAAAATGCTCTACAAATATTTATAGTAACAATTATTAGTCCTCGCAAACTGGACAATTTCTGGTTGCAACTACTTGAATTACTTACACAATAAGATTATTGGAAAGGCACGAACCCAGCTCTTCCTAAAATTTGTCCTTTCTCCAGTTATCATGAACAGTCTTGTCACAATGATAGACAATGAAAAAAAATGGACAAATAAATAGAGGAGTTATTCAAGTAAAGGAGATAAAATGAGCATTATAATTTATTATTCACAAATGATGACTTGTCACTAACATATGTTTAACGTCTTACCATCAAACTGCTAAATCTATAAATGTCAAATGATATTCATAAAAATTTGGTAAGTTTTTTTTATTTTAAGTTGTATGTTTACATGTTTCTAATTTGAACCAAGAAATGTTTGCTTAATATAAACCAAAGTTTGTCTATATTTCTGAGATGAGGTATTATGTACAGTATTTACATTAGTCGGACTATTGTCCTCATCTTTGTCGCCATATTTGTCACAACGTTTCGGCCGTTGTACGCTCCGGCCTTCTTCAGGTGGTTGGAATTTCGAACTGAACCCTTTATTTCGATCGCTGGGGTAGACTGTTCTAATTCCACGTGCCATGTTTGATGGATGTCAGTTATCAGTTATCTCCTGCTAATTTTCCCTCTGAAAGTTCTCCACTGCCTTAACCAGGAACTGAACTCACCTTCTTTGGGTCTGTGTGTACGCTATCCCATGCAGCTGCGGAAAGGAATATAAAGGAGAGACAGGCCGCCCCCTCAAGGTAAGGCTTCAAGAACACCAGAAAGCTGTAACGTGAGGGGAAGTAGAAAAAATCAGGCGTGGCTGACCACATATGGAGAGAGAAGGAGATCACCGCCCCCTGTGGGATCATGTTGAGATCATAGACAGGGAACACCATTGGAAAATTCGTAAACTTAAGGAATCAGCACATATGCTAGGCCACAAAAATCTCCTGAGCCGACCAAGCATAGAAATAAATACAATATGGGAACCAGTAATAAGGAGTGCCAGAGAAAAGCAATGATAACAAAGTTGCAATATGAGCTCTGGTAAAGACATGCAATGATAACAGCAAAAAAATTGCAATATGAGCACTGGTAAAAATGATGCTGAAAAACATTAGGTTTATAATACTCAGAAGTTCATACCCAGATGTCCTCAAGGACACATGGCACAGTGGATAAAGGCGTTGGTTAGATCCAGTGACAGACCCAAAGAAGGTGAGTTTAATTCCTGGTTAAGGCAGTGGAGAACTTTCAGAGGGAAAATTAGCAGGAGATAACTGATAACTGACATCCATCAAACATGGCACGTGGAATTAGAACAGTCTACCCCAGCGATCGAAATAAAGGGTTCAGTTCGAAATTCCAACCACCTGAAGAAGGCCGGAGCGTACAACGGCCGAAACGTTGTGACAAATATGGCGACAAAGATGAGGACAATAGTCCGACTAATGTAAATACTGTAATATAAACCAACTTTAATGCATACTTCAGAAGTCCTTTAATTACACTTTATTAACTAAGAAAAAAAAAAACATTTACCTGAGCAAGGTCTCCAAATAGTCAACAGGGTAAGATGCAACAGTTATAGTACGGAATCCTAGTGAAGATATCATCACTTCTTGCCAAACTGAAACAAAAGTTATATTTAATCATATCAAATTTACAGTAAACAGCGATGTCACATCACAAGCTTTGTAATCCATTAGGGTCATAAGAGCACCACATATACTACAGCAAGAAAGCCTGACAGAACCCATCCCTCTTCAGGCACAGTAAGACAATTATAGCCAACAAATTATGCATAATGGACTTTGCAACTATAACATACTACTAATTAATCTGGTAGAAATTTTCTCAATTAGACAACCAACTAATACTGTAAATACAAGAGCCAATATTCTAGGTTACTGACTGAAGGTATGGTGTCATAACAGTTATTGTCACAATATATGAAATTCAGTTTGAGACAATTTGTGTTTACTCTATATTAATATTGAAAAGGCAAGTCCGAATGGGGTTTATGCCCTACTGCCCAGCCCTCAATTATAAACAAAAACCAAGGCAGTTAGAGAAGGCTACTTTATAAAAAAATTTACAGCTTAGTTGTTTCAGCTTGGTGAAAAAGAAGAGAACCAATCTTAAAAAGTTGGACTGAGTGTGTGCAATTTGATTTCTAACAATCAGCACATGTGTGAGGAGGAGTTTGTAGCAGATGGACAGATCATCCTCTTCTGCTTTCATCAAATATAGATTTGGTTAAATGGAGGGATAAACAGCATGCCACACAAATTAGCAAAATTCATGGTTAAAAAAAAAAAAAAAAAAAAAAAAAAAAAAAAAAAAAAAAATAAAACCACTCCTATATATATATATATATATATATATATATAAATATATATATAAAAATCACTTTCAGGTTTCAGTGTGCCAATTTAAAATCAGCAGACACCAACAGCTCTTATATATATATATAATTCTGCATATTATCTCACTAACAAACAAAGCTGTATAGTTTTATCCAAATAGATTGTGTTTTACTATAAATGGGTAGTTACCTCTATAAACCTAATAAATTTTGTTCCTGTAGTGAAAATTTATTAGATTTAAACTATTTTTTTTTACTTTAAATTTTACCTCCAAATAAAAAAAAGTCTGTAAAAATTCAGAGTTTGAATTTACAATATTATAGTAAAAGAGGGTGATTCAATGTTTCTTAAAAATATGATGAGCATTTAAACACCTTCATTAGAAAATGTATTAATATTCATATCAATCTCAGATTTTAAAATTTCCACAAAATTAAAAAAATTCCTAGATTTATTCAGGTAAATTCACTGTGGTTTCATGACTTATGAAAGATTATAAAGCATACTAATTGCATAGAAATTAGGAATTCTTTTTTCAAAAATATTAATTTGAAAAAGATATTCACAAAAAAAAAAAAATAAATAAAAAATACAATCATTGAACTATATATTTTATTTTACTGAATGATATTTACTCTTTCTAAAGTTTATATAGCAATTCAGAGAGTTCAATTTTTTCAATAGTTTTGATAATTTAAGAATATAAATTTAATATAAAGATCAAGTAAACGATCATCTGAAAACCTAGTTCAAATTTAACATTGTTTATTTATGTATGTATGTTCATATACAAAAATTGAAAAGTAATTCCTATTTAAAACAAGTTTGAAAAAAACAAAAAAAACAAAACAAGTGTGTAGTTAGTTATTCTCACTTTTTAATCCACTGCAGAGATCCTTGAAGCCAGCTTGTCCTATGGCCCAAAGTATTGACAAGCAACGTAATGGACGGTTCTGATGATTCTTCAAAAGTTCCATATACTGAAATGAAACAAGTGATTTTATTTCAAATTTTCAAAATATCAAGTAGAATAAAATAATTTCATTGATTCAATTAGTTTTTAGTTATTCCATTAAAAAGAGTAAATGAATATTAAATAATCTGGGTTTGTTTTATGTACTTACTTTTAGGAGAAATGTATTAAAGGAAAACTAGACAGTTTGTAAAAATTGTTACATTTATGTGCAAAAGTTTCTTTTTTTTATTTTTTTTTTTATTATTTAGAATTGGCTCTAGAAGGGACCACCAGAAATAACTGTCATGGTAGACTGTTGGTGATTCATTTTTTTCAAATTTGGAAAAATATATTTGCCTCACATTTTTTGTCCAATCAAAAAGAATGGCTTTCACCCTTGTAAATTTAAAGTTGAGGTTTGTTTACGCCTCGTTTGAGAGTATATATGAACATGGCTCAGCAGATAACACTAGAAGGTATTTAGATGTCACATTCAATGGAGGTTCAACTTGGACATCAGATACAAAGCAGGCCAGTTGTCTGCATAACAGTTTTACACTTGCTCATGTGAAAGTTGCCTGCAGAGCAAAGGGCAGAAAGGTTCTGGCATTCTTAAAAACTATGCCGATGAAAAAGAACATAGAGAACCTTTAAGGCCAACCACAAAAAGGAAACTTTAAAAACAAAGAAATTTCTAAAAGATTATTAAAATAGCCCCAGAAACACATGGAAGCCAAGTAGAAAGAAAACTGAATGACATTGCAAAAATATCGTTAATTTCCCAGAAGTGCGCACGGGATAACAAAGTTGATTTTTCATTTATCTATTATTAGGTGGGTGCACCTTTTTCTAAGAATAATTTTTTCCTTTGTTTTTTTTTTAACGGTTTTCATATCACCTTCAAGGTTTTTTGTTTTTTTTTCTTCCAAGATTTGAAAAATTGTCTTTAAATATTTTTTTCTCTCCAATAATTTCTATATTATCTTATCTTGCCTTGTTCATAAGGCATATGAAAGGAAATTCTTGTGGATGCCTTTTTTGTTTTGTCATATTGCTTCATGTACATGTAATAAATGTTTGCACATTTCAAATTTCAATTAGTAGTTTTGAGTCTTGTTTGTTATCACATACACCTTTTATTTATATTTAGTATAAGAGAGGTGACATTCTCTCTTCTCCCATTCCCTCCCAGCAGAAAAAAAAATTCTTTTGATGCTTTTAACACATAAAAAAGCATTAAATACTGTAATTATCTATTTTACAAGCTTACAATTAACTACTACTACATTACTTGAATTAATGCTTCTGAATTTTAGGGTTCAACTCTTATGCTGGATCAACTTATATGTCAGCATATATGGAAACTTTGAGAAAAAAAAAAAAATTGTATTTTTTAAATAATCCTACTTTACTTGTATTTTCTTTTTATGTCTATCGTGGAGCCAAGATGAAGCATGCTACAATCTGTGAATTTTTATTTACTCCTTGAAAATGAGTTTGGCATTTTGTTCACAATAAAACTATTTTTTTAATAAATCATGTTCACTATTAATTTGGATATTTGAACCTGTATGCTTTTGTTGGTTACCATTAGAAATTGCTATTAAATACTACTTATGCTTTACTTTGGTAAATAAAATTACATTTATTAAACTATAAAGAAGGATGCTAATATAAATGCCATGTGATGCATTTGCATAACATGGTTAAAAAAAAAAAAATATAACACTGGAAATGATTTTGTACTGAATTCTGTTACCTTAAATAAGACCATAATTCACCTGAAGGTTTTAATGAAGTTTTGTAATAGAGATTTGTTTGTCAGATGTAATCATAGCAGCAGCTGTCCAGCCTGTCATTAAAGTTGTTTTATCTGATCTATCTACTAACCCATCTCCTTACTGCATTTACATTAAGTGCAGCCTTTCCATAAGCTTTCACTAAGTTCCTGTAAAGTTCAACAGCACTTTCTCCTCCCAAAAAACAGAAATTTTGACAGCTCTTTGCTTTCAATATATATTCAGAGGTACAGTCATTTTGAAAGTGTATTATGAGTAGAAAAAGAGAAAGTAACTCCACAAATTTTTCACTATCTTATGAAGCTATAGAACAGGATAAAGTAATATTTTCCAGCCTATATTCTCATAGATTTTGATAGTCATTATTAAAGTAAAGAATGCAACATGTGACAAGTTTATTGTTCATTTAATTTATAAAAAATAAATAAAATACCATACCTGAGGGAGCTTGGACATAACAAATTCTGGTTTCTCTTTAGCAAGTAACTGAATGAACATGCGGTAACCATAAGTTCCAACACCTACAAATTAAACAAAACAATTAAATATGTAAAAAAAACTTCAGTTATTACATTTTAACATTTATTACAATTATAAATTGCATGAGGATCTTTTGTATCTGGCACCAAATACCTTTGTAGAGGCATGTTAAGAGGAATGACCATTGTGGATGTTTGTTTAGGGCTGCGTGTATAACTTGCCCACACAATTTATATTAAACATAAAATACCACAAAGCATGAAATACAAGAAGGAACAAAAGGTTTTAAAACAAACATAACATTGTATTTATTTGTGTGTTGATGTACATGCGTAGAAGTTAAAGAATTGATGGAGTTATGTTTCTTAGACTGGGAATATTTTTACCGGAGCTCACAAAGTTGGATTAATTATTAAACTCTAATTTTAGAAGAATAAAGTTCTTGTTGCATGTTTGGAAATGTTCTGTAGGTTGTAAGAGTTTGTACATACGTGAATGCGTGAAATATTATTTAACGTCTGACCGCATGGTCGAGACGATAATTCTCTGGGACTACATTTTGCAGTAAGAAGAGAGAAAAAAAGAGAGACAAACTCGTGTTTGCTATTTATAGAATATGTAAATCACGTGACAGGATCAAAAGAACTTGGTGGGAAACTTGACTTGGTCATGTGCTGGAAAAATATATTGTGTGTGGATGGATTGCAACACCCACTTGCGTGTGTATTGACCAATTAGAAGCTGATATTTTCTGAAAATATTTACTAAGCTGAGAAGGCTCTTGGGATCCGATTCTCCCAAAAGTGCACAAAATCGACTACATGAAAATATAGCAATTACAAAATTGTCACATTGCTGCAATTTGTAAATTGTCTATTACAAAGTAGTGTTGATTTATTTTCCAATGAATGCTTGTTGTTGTATAATTTGAATTTGTATAAGTATGTATGTGTGTGATGATGATCATTACACCTTAATACAAGAAGGCCATATTCCAAAGAACATTTACACAAAATCAACCTAACTTTAAGATGTCATACAAATTTGTTATCAACATGCTATAAATAGGCAAAGAACATCATCAGAAAATTCATAAACTTAAGGAATCAGCACATATCTCCTGAGCCAATCAAGCATAGAAATGAATATAGGAACCAGTAATAAGGAGTGCCAGAGAAAAGCAATAATAACAACAAAAATTGCAATATGAGCTCTGGTAAAAAAATATGCAATGATAACAGCAAAAATTGCAATATGAGCACTGGAAAAAAGTTGTTGCTGAAGACATTAAGTTTATAAGTCCCAGAAATTCATACACAGATGTCCTTAAGGACACATGGCACAGTGGATAAAGGCATTGGTTAGACCAGTGAGTTCAATACCTGATTAAGGCAGTGGAGAACTTGGAGAGGTGAATTAACTGACATCCATAAGACATGGAACTAGAATAGTCTACCCCAGCAATTGAAATAAAGGGTTCAGTTCAACATTCCAACCACCTGAAGAGGGCTGGAGCGTAAAAAGAAACGTTGTGATAAATATGACAACAAAGAGAACAATAGTCTGAATAATGTAAATAGTGTATATTGGTTTACTTTTCTTTTTCAAGGTAAAAAATAAAATAGAATCAAAAATTCAACTGCTGTATCTTCCAGCCTTCCTTGCACCTTTCTCATATTTCAAAGGGGAAGTGTATACACTATCAGATCAAATGAGACTAACAATAGTTAACTATTCAACATCCAGACATTGTCATCTGGTCAGTTAATTCAAAAGTTTACATTATTGATTTAAAGACTCCTTTTGAGGAAAAGAATGTAAATATCTGAGATAAATGCAGAAAACCAATATTTCCCATTGAAGTGTAAATGTTTTTTATTAGCAACTCAACCTCAGCATATTTTGCTAAGCTTGTAATACTTTCATTAGAGAATAGAAAAGGTATTAAGAGGCTCCAAAACAGAATTAAAGCTACATTTCCATGTGTTGGTTACAATCTCTGGAACAAATATTTTTTTTTGTATTTTTTTTTTAAATACAAAAATGGCGATGGGGAAGACTGGTAACTGTAACTTAACTAGTCACATTCACTGAGCCAAATATACTTATAATAATCCTTTCACCACAATACAACATTTATACAGAATGTGATACTATTTGTTGTTACCACAGTAAAATAAAACTGAAGAAAATCTTCTTATCAAATGAATATTGTTATGTGCTGAGAGTCATCGAAATGAGAAGGGTTAATACCAAAAAGTGGGAAGAACTGAGGATTTAATTCACACATAAACAACTTGAATTGTATGTCGAGCAGTTTGAACAATGGAAAAGTGACGCAAGCTTAGGGGGCAATGTTGACTGATACACAGCTGCAAATGCAAGCTGTAAAGTGAAAATTTCATTTTTCGTAAACAACAAATTTGGAGTTGATTCCCCTGGCTGAAAGTGGAGTTGAAATACCAGGAGAGGGTGGATAAACCACCCACACCCCCTGAGGAGATTTTGTGAGAGGCAATAACATGAGAGAGTGGAAGAACAACCAGGGAGGGTGTTGTATGGTTACAAGAATACACATCTATGCTAGTCACCAAAACAATGCATGCTCTCCATGAGATCCTAAACTAATTCTCTGTATTTACAAACATGTGGAGAGTGGTGGGATAAAAAGTATACATGACTTTTTATTTACATAATAAAATTAACACCATGTCAATAATGAAAAAAATATACAATGAAAATGTATTCTTGGTCTCATGCATTTTTGTTATTTCTTGCTTTGAAGTCAGAATGCTATAACTACTTGACTGTACCCCTTCTGTATGTGAACACTATTCCTACTATGGGACTTTTTTTTGCTACATTTCTGTCTTATAATTGCTTTGCTTTTGACTTTCATTATATATATTGTACTTTTTTTTTATATTGTTTATTGATAACATTGTCAATTTTGTAAATTACACTTAACCATGGCCAATTTATTATACAGCATGGATCTAATATTACCTCAATGTGACAAAGAAAAAAGAAAGTGATATTTTGTGATATTGCTGGTACTCTTGGTTAGTACTCAAAGTATATTTGTATATTTCTTGCTTGCACTGGTGACACCAGCTGGTAGTGTAATTTTGATAATGGCAAACTGTTCCAAGATGTTTAAGAAGCTGGGAGGTGAAAGATCAGTCAAAAGGCAGAGTAAAACAATAATAATTAGAATAAATATATATTTAACCCTTTAGCATTTAACCCACCCTGTAAATATCAGCTCTCAATGCTCAACCTGCCATAACCCACTCCCCATATACTGACATATGATTATACCATCACAAAAAACGCAGGAAGTCACGCAAACAGTGAGACTTTGAGAATCAATAATTATGAGGTAGATTTGAGCATGTTGAACCTGAAGGGTTAAAGGCTGACATTAAAACCTAATAATTTATAATAGGTCATAAAATGATAACATTGGTAAAGTAAACTAGTGTGTGTATATATTTTTTATTTCAGTGAATAACTACTAAGTAGAACATTAATATTCACCATAAGATCATAAGTTTAAGTAAAATTCTTAATATTTAAAACATTTCTACTATATGCTCTTAAAATTGCATAAATAAAGTAAAAAAATAGTCATCTACAGTATTAAAAAAATTGGTTTACCTTTTGAGGACTCATTCAGCATGCAGTTGATGGAATGCTGGAAGATTTGTTCTTGGACTTTAACAGGACATTGACGGACAGCTGATATCAAAAATTTTTTCACATCACCCCTCAACAAGCAAAATGGAAAATCTGTACCAACAAAACATGGGTAATACTAAAGTATGACTTACAGTAATTAATTTTATTATCTGGGTACTGAATATGATATATGCAGGTAAATTAATTACATACCCAAATGAAAAAAAATAAAGCATTTATTTAAAATATTTTTAATATGGTTGCTTTCCTTATCCAACATTTCTCCATAGAGCGAACATTATACAGTGAAAATTTCAGATCAAAATTCACCTGTTTCAGGCTAGAGATTTATTGACCAATTATTATGAGTAAAAAATTAATTGCTGAAAAGGACATATTTGACCTTCAAATATTTTTTGTCATTGGTGGAGGTTTAATAATTAACATTTCCATCCTAAAACAATGTCATACTGACTGAAGGATCTGTTTGACTACTTGACTCTCCTGACAATTGTACATAAACATTAAAAAATTGCACAAATATTACACTGCATCTAAAGCTCAAAATGGATAATTGCAGGAGTTGCAGTGAGCAGTCATTCTGCCAAATAACCTTATAAACTGTCATTTTGGCTGACAAATACAATAACCAAGATTTTAACCATGTATGATCAACAAAGAAAAATGATTCCTTGATAAGCAAATAAATATCTTGAAAGCTTGTTTAGTTCAATTATTTGAATAATCATACTTATTATAAAACCCAGGTTGTGTGTGTGTGTTCGTTTATATATTGGATCGGATTTCCTACATTTTTCAACCGATTTCAACAAAACTTCACTTTATGCACACTTTTTTTCTTTATTTTTACATTCAGAATGCTTTAAAAATTCCATTTACAAGACAATTGTTTATAATAAAATTGAAAAATTCTATTCAATTGGTAGACTCATAACGATTGAAAACAATGTTTTTGTTTGAGTTTGACCAATTCATAAAAAAAAAAAAAACTAATTAAGACATGCGTGTCCGTCAACCTTAAACAATAATCTTTGTCAATTTTATTTTTCAGTCTTTATGATGGTCGATACTTGATCTATCTCTTACTGTTACATCCCCGGGCAACGCCGGGCTCTACTGCTTGTATCCAATAAATTTTTTAAAATTATCCTCAGTTTCACTGTTTTATTCATGTTTTAACAGAGCCACTCTCCAACTTGAAGTCAAAGTTTTACTTGTATTAGATCTGTTTGTGACCAGTCATAGTCTTGTCTAACATAGGTCAAAGAAGAGTTTAAAATGAAAATAAAAATTAGATGTTAGTGTTATTCATGGTTAAACAAAAGGAAGGCTTGTAAGCTAAACATCAGTACATAGAATTACATGACTTTGACCAAGAAAATGTATATAAATGATCAGCTAGCCTGAGTGGTTTTCAAAAGTAGTTGGTCAGAAAGGCATCAGTCAGGACAGATGAATTGTATTAAACATTTCCATCTTCCTATGCAGTCAGAAGTGATCAGACAAAATTAGTTCCTTGTTTAAGGGAAGAAACTTCTCTCAATCAATTGAAGAAACTTTTATCTCTTAATCTCGTCTTTCTACATCCAAATAAAACAAATTCTCAACCACAATGGCAGATATCCAATATTATTTTTCTACATACAACCATTAAAAATGAAAATCAATAATTTGCAAATCTTTTACCCCACAGAAAAATTTTACATAAAAACAGAGAATGAATGGATTGAAATATTAGCATGAAAGAATATATTTAAATTCTTTTTAAATTACCTAAGTAATTATTAAAAATTTTTAAGATACTTTTTATAAATATGTCCCATCTACACAAATATCTTTGTAAATTAAACAAATTAATGTAATCAAATGAGTAATGTTAACATTTAAGTAAGTCTATAAAAAAAATATTTAAAAACCAAAACTAAGTACCTTTTGATTTATCTTTAAACACTGGATCTTTTTCTGGAAACATTTCAAGTTCAACATTGAGATATGAGGATAAATCTTTCAACCAAATTTCAGGATGATTAGGGAAACTGGCCTGGTCTTTAGTAAGGATAGCCTCTAAAGTAGGTTTGTCAATCTGCCAAAAGTTTTAAAGCAAAAAGTGAGGGTAAAAAAACAAAACATTAATTCAATATATTCATTCTTATGTCAGATTAAATAAGCAATAACTTTGAGAATTAAATTTTCCAGGTTTGTGACACCAATATTTCAAAATACCCAAAATTTCCACCCTGCTCTATATTAAATGCATTACAAAAGACTGTGTGTGTGTCTATAAAATATATTTTTTTTATATCAACATATATGAAAAGAAAATTTTATGCCTTAACAGAAAAAAAAATAAAAGTTCTTAATGTTTTTGACAATCAGGCAATATAAGATTGCACCACAATCTTTGCTTGATTTTATCCATTTTTTGTCTGTAATACATTTCATAGAGTGCACAGATATTATACTGACCCAAGATAAAAGTGCCAATCTGTGCATAAATCTCATTTTTCATGAGTTTTATTCACCTTTGTACTTTTGATCATTTTATTTTAGCTAATATATTCTGTCCTTCCTCAGATATGTCCAGTTCTTTTAATCTTTGAACAGAATTCCTTATCACATTAATTTTCTTTAACTATTGCCACCACTCTAAGCAAAACAATTCAGAGATCCAATGACAAAGTCAATATGGAAAATCTTTTATCACTTAAAACTAGACTATTTTTATTAGATTAATGGTAAAAAAAAAAAAAAAAAAAAAAAAAATGAAAAACAAGGTATTTTGTACAACGATTAACAGGCAATATTCTGTATATACTCAAGTAGAGTGGAAATTTTTATGATCAATTTTTACACACAAAAAATAGGCAGTCACACTACACACAGGTAATATTTTTTTGAATTTAAAAATTATGCATAAAAATTTTCACTGACTGATTGCACTATACACAGGTAAATTTTTTTCTGAAGATGTTAAAATTCATGCTAAAAATATTCAGGGGTCAAACTATATATGAAGCCAGCTTATACACAAGTATATACAGTACACAAAGAGGAATTAAGAATGTACCAATCAAAACAAAGATGAGCATACTAATCCGAATAAATAATGACTATTTCAGAACTGAGAATTACTATACAAGTTTTTTTTTTAACTTATAAAACTATCAGCAAGTACTGGTCTTATACATCCAAAATTAACACTTTTTTTTGTTTTTATAAACCAGCTGAATTTAATTGCTAACAGCAAAAAAATGATTCAGAAATATGAAGTTCATATATAAGCAGCTAATCATCAGATATCAATAAAATGAATTTAAGAATTAATAAATGAAGAACATTGTAGTCTAACCAGGCAACTATTTTTTTATTATTATACACCATTTTGCTTGGACTATTGTCCTTATCATGGTTATCACAACATTTTGGCCATTGTGCTCTCTGGCCTTCAAGCATTAGTCATAGTTGGTAACCAAAGAAATTGTAACTGAACACTATTCATTTCATGAAAGTATACACATTAGTATATTTTCTTTTGTTAATAATTTATCAGTTATATAAAAATACATTTTTTATCACTTAATTTTTAGTGAATACCTATATTTGAATAGACACTCCATTTAGTTATTAAACAGTATATTTATTTATTTACATCTACCAGAATGAATATTTAAGAAATCTTATTAATAAAAAATATGTGCTGACAGGATTGCACTAAAAATAACATTTAAGTAATAAAATCTGTCAGATTAATAAATAAAAATCCATCACTTCTATAAAAATACATGAAAATATCTATTAAAATTTATTACTTTTTACCTCTACAAATGATGACAATCTGTCAATGACATGTGGAAATTTTAGTTACCACTGCTTTTAGTTGAGTAAGAAGTTGTAAGAGCAACATTGGTTTTACAAAATATGAAAAAGAATAGATTAAAAAAAAAAAATATACCAGAAAAATGGCTTCTTCAACACGGTAAATTTTTTTAACTTCTGGTTCTTTCTTCTTTTTAACATTTCCATTCTTCTTGTGGTGGTTGTCCTGCTTTGATTTTGCAGAATTATTAGATTTTCCCGATTTAGCGGAATTGTTAGCTTGATTTTTGTTTGACTTATTCTTCATTAAAAAAACATCAAATATGGATCTATCTTTTTGAAGAGCATCTGTAAAATAGAAATTAGAAATGGTGTATGCATTAAAATAATGTGTAAGTATTTGTCTGCACAGTGGCACCAACATTAAAACAAAAAATATTGCTTATTATGAAATATGAATTAAAGAACAGAAAAATACTTTTTTTTTCACTGAGAAAAAAATATATATATATACAAATTATACAAGAAAAAAAATGAACTACAAATTTTTTTTTTAAATAACCTACCCATTTTTCAAAAAAAATATTCTGAAGAGAATCGAACAATAATTCCCATTTAACTATTGATGACACTTGCTGATGAGAACAAAAGTTATGAACTTCTATATAAAGCATTAAACACAAATTGATTGAATTTTAGCAGATTTGAAAACCAAAGATGTGTTGATTTCTCTACAAGGTGAATGGATTTGGATTTGTTTTTTTATGGTTTATCAATCCTTTGCAGATTATTTAAAGCTAAAACATTTTTTTGAATTATAAGAATAATTCTTTTTTTGTGAATGAATACTGCATTAATTTTTTGAATGATTTTTACACACACACATTTTACTATTTAATCCATATTTGGGGGAAAAGAGACGGTTTATATCTTTCCCAAGGGTATTAGCACATAATTGAATGTAACAAACTTGACTGGAATTATAATTTGGCTTTCCGAGTTCTCATTCCAAGCTGCTATTACATCCACAAGTGGAAACAAATCTAAACATGTTCATTTATACAAACATTTTTCATATATAAATAAGTGGAGGGAGGACAGAAAATAGAATGAAGACAGGCTACTGAAAGGAGTCAAACAGATTCTGAACCAAAGCAATACATCTATACTCAATGATATAATGAAACTACACTTAATGAAATAAGAAATCCCAAATTGCCAGTAATTAAGTATTAAAATGATTCAAAATAAAATGCAGTGTCAATTTCAATGGAAAGAGCTAATTAAAGAGCTTCTACCCGAACAGAATATCTGCACAAAATTCTTGCTACTGTACAACTCGACCCAATCAAAGAATGTTTTTGCAATGTTAACGTGAAGATTTAATTCAATTAGACTAAGAGCCAGGAGCTGAATGTAAATGTTGCAGTGAGCTCAATTAGAGATTGTCATTTTGATAACTTTTTAATAATATTAAAGATTTTTTATGACATTTGCTCAGATTTGTTCTGCAATTTTTCATTATCCAAGAATGTTTTTCCTCCCTTTATTTGAAGTTTAATTTAGAAAATAATTAGGCTATCGAGGTGTAAACAAATATGGATCCCAATGAAATTTTTTTTATTTTATTATAGGAATTATTTCTATTTTTAATTACATATATGAAAAAAATATTTCATTTGACCAACCAATGTAGACTTTCAACATTAAAGACGCCATTGTATATTAATATAAGCATCTTTACATGTACATTTTATGTGCATAATAGTCTGTTGTAGACAGTTGTTTTTGTTTTTTTACGGAGGCAAATCAAATTCATAAAAATCTCTTCAGAAATTCAAATCTTTTAAAAAATTTGTAAATATATATAAAAAAATAGGGCTGCAATCACTGTTTATGCCCTATTTAAGCTGCCACTGAATACATATAAGATCATTTTTAAAACATTGTAGAGTTTATAGGAATAACATTTTTTTTAAATATTACTGAAGTATTTATTTAACTTATCCACCAATATCCATGAAATACTCTGTAAATAAGTAAAACTAAAAGATTTATCTACATATAAAACAAAATAAATAAAAATAGAAATTTATTCATATATACAATATATTTGTGCATAACACTTTCACATAACCAAAGCTCTATTATATAGATATGGGCAAATTACCCATCTTAATACAGTGAACTTTTCTGGTGGAGTCACCCATCTCTAGGTAGTGAACCCTTCTGGTGACATAGAAATAGAATGTTACTGAATGTTAAATTTTTTTATATTTTATAAATAAATCTTATTCAATATTCTTTTTCATTTTGTTTTCTGAGATCTACATAACTATATATTTTTCAGAATAATTTTCCTATTAATAACATTTTTATAAGTCTTTTAAAAGGACAAAATATTGGTATCTTAAATGGCTGACTTATTGTGAGATTACATATCTTTTGAGAACTAACACCATTTTATAATGAGCCTGTTTAAATATGCTAATGCTTTTTCCCCTACCAATTGTTTTTGCTACAACTGTGATATTATTTAATAATGCTTCCAACTATTCTTTGTAATAATTTTGCCATTGATTAATATATCAATATTGCTATTGCAATTTTGTAAGCAAATTTGCAATATATAAATTGAGCTACTTGATTTAAGAACCAGTCTTTTGTAAATGCTTAATTAGTAATTCACTAATGACTGCCTCTTATTAAATATTATTCTTGTTGAATATATGACTACTGAATATATGACCATGAAAAAATGATGAATGAAAGAGAATATTTCTATATTCTCTTTCATTCATCATTTTTTTTTGTTGTGGGGGAGGGGGACAATAAGTGGAATAAAGAAATAAAAGAGAAATGGTGACTTTGCACACTACAGACAATACTGAACTTTGTGACAAACAATAAAGACACACACAACACAAATATACACCTCAACACATTACTTTTGATTAAAAAAAAATGCACAGATTTATCATCACCCAGGAAGGGTAATGACAGAAAGAAACTGAGATGACAATGTGACTAATTGACTGGAACACTGTTAGGCCGCTAGAGATTCTATTAATAAAAAAAAAAAGGAAAAAAAAAACAAAAGCATAAAAGAATATATCGTTATAACTATCTTGATAGGAATGTCACAATAACACAAACTTATTAACCAATCAGCAATGACAAAGTTCAAGACACCCATTTTGCATTCATAAGTATAATCAGGAGTAGCACAGACTAAAGATAGGTCAATTTTTTTTTTGTTCATCATAGATAGTAAGTTGATTATTGTTAAAATATTAATCTCATGAAAAAGAAAAAAAAAAAAAGAAAAAAAAAGAAACCTCTGTCCCATAAATGACCATGTAAGAAATGTGTATGCAAAATTTATTATGAAACAAATGTCCTCTTTTTTCATATTTGTAAAACCAATTCAAGAACAATTTCCTAAGATTTTGATTTATTTGAACAATACTTAATATAAAATAACCAAATTTTTTGAGCAATGAATAAGGATCAACTTCACTAACAGATTTCAAAATGGGCACACATATTACCCTACTTGAAAATAGTACTTAATTTTCTCTATTGATTTATAGATATGGTCTTCCAGCATCAATAAAGCAGGTCACAAATGCTTAAAACTTTTTTTTGACAATTTAGTTACCAATATTTTCAAATGCTAGTTATTAAATTTAACTTAAAAAATAATTTAATGTTAAAAAAAAAATCTTTGAAACATTACTGAAAATTATCAAGAGAAAATTATTTATAGCTTTAAGAATAATGATTAAGTATATCACTACAAATTTGATTGAAATCCATTATTCACTAAAATTTATAGTTTCAACAGAATATTAAAGCATTTGGTAATTAATTTCACATACAACTTGTGTATCTAGAAAAAAAATAGAACAAATACTCAAAGAAACAAAAAAAAATCATATGGAAATTATAAAAAAAGAAATTGATTATGTTTACATGTTTTGTGTTGTTTCTTTCACGGCTTATTCTTATTCTTAAATAAGCTTGTTTTTAAGAATAGTAGAAAATACCAAATGTAAAAAGTAAAACAGTTTTCAATTTGCAACATTATTACTTAACAAAATATACACATTTGAATTTAATAACTGATTTTTATAGTATATTGAGAGCTATAAATATGTATTTTAAGCATTATTTTCATTTTTTTTTAAAACCTTTAAAAGAAAGTGCAATTTTTATTCTTTCTCAAATTCTCAGCAATTATAAGGAGATTTAGAGCAATACAAATTAAATAAGAATTATAATGCTACAATTTTGAATGCAAAATTTTACTTCGATTCAGTTAAAATTTGTGTTATACTACTTTAATCAAGATCTCTAATTCACAAATACATTTCACTAGACGTATCAGCTGGATATGACTGCTCAGAAAGCAAAAGCTAAATAGTTGTCTTCTGTGCAAGGGCCCCAAGCATCCTATTCACTAAACAAGTCTCTCTTCAAAAATCTAAAATACAATAGCCAATCATGTACATTGCCAAGAAAAAACAAAATTAAAAAAAAAGAATGAGCCTGGGAGCAAGCACCTGTTAAACCACAGATATGAAAATAGTGCAGCGCCAGTTTGGCTCAACACCTCAACTTTGTCACACAACTGCCAACCCATCCCGCACTCTTCACCAGTGTCATTTTCAACCCTGATGATAGAAAGATCAAACCCACCCATGACACCACCCAGCTTCACTAATCCACTCCAGTCCTCCCTCCTGACACCAACCATGACCTTGGCTAATTCAACAATTCCATCAACAACACCCTTGCACCTAATTGCTTCTCTTACTGATGACAAATAAAGAACCACATATCAACAATTCTGTCAACTTTTCATGCAACTATGTATATATTCTGAAAATTGATCAATACACACCGAACTTTTAATATTTGTTTGCTCTTTCTTTTGCAACCATACACTTATTATAACATTTGGAGAAAAAAAAAAAAAAAAGCTTGTTATAACTAATATTGCACACAAAAGTCAAAACCCCAGAATTATTACTCACATATTTTTTTCTAATTTTAACTTCATACATTTTACATCAAAAAGCTTAACCTTAACAAATGGAATTCAAAATTAGTATTAGCCACAATGGAATTTATTTTGGCTATTACCTATTTGTCAAGTTAATAACAAATAAATTGTATTAGTTTGGATGCAAAAAAATTTATATAATGTTATAAAATTTTTAGACATGCATGACTCTTATAAACTAGTGTTTTTATTTTTTTTTTTTACACAGATTATCAACTGTTTGTGGGTTATTGAAACTGAAACATTTTTTGGATTGTAAGTATAATTTTTTTTTTTTTTTGCAAGTAAATATTATATTAACAATTATTTGGAAATAATGATTTTTCCAGATACTATTACTAGTCCTATTATTTAAATCAGTCATGGGTAAACTGTGGCCCATTTGGTCTTTCTGAATGACACTTAATTTCATAAGTAAAATAACATTTCTTAAAATTTTATTTTGATTCATTCTCACTTGTTCACTCACATATAACCACGTACATAAACAATGATTAAGTACATTCCTTCTTGAATTTTGCAAACTTTCAGTGAAAGTAACATTTACATTTACAATTGGCAATTTTCGCTAAGGAACATCATAGGTGTAAACATCTTTTGCTTTTGAAACAGGAAACATCCATAATCATTTTTTCTCAAAAAATGACATTGAAATTGAAGTCTTGGTATATAATATTATCACCAATGACAATGTGATTAACACATGTCATTGCATGTGATTTATTTCTAATTTATTTGAAAATAAAAACAAGACTTCAATTTCTTAATTGTGAAAAAAAAAAAAAATCATTTCTCCAAAGAAAAGAAAATTCACCTTTTCAACACATTTCTAAGGTATATGCTTATGGTCTTCTGTGGTGAAAATAGATGAGGTACCTACTACGAAAAACTACTTTGAACCTTTTTAGTAATGCAGCCTTCCTTGTGATGAGCTATAGATCATATGGTCCACTACTTGAAAAAGATTGCCCATACCTGATTTAAATCATAGCTGAAGGGAGAAGAGATAGGTTCATACCTTTCACAAGAGAATTTGTAAGTGAATATAACAAAATTGACTGGATATAAACTAGTGTAGATTAGTAAAATCTAGCGATTCATAATAGTTAAGCTTATGGGTTTAACATGAAGTGTATAGTAGGAAAATTTAGGTAACTTTAATTTTACAAGAAAGTTAGAACTACCTAGATAGAAAAGTGAAAAAAAAATGTTAATTACAAAATAGCACTTATTTTTTTGCTTTCATTTAGTACTAAGAGTGGAATGAAAAGTAGAAAGATGAATCTTTGTAGAATCTGGAATTGCGACATAAAATGTGTGGATTTTGATAAAGCCCAAGAACTTGTCTAACAGAAGCCAGTATTACATATGTGGACTAATCCTAGCTTTTATTTTCTTCAGAGGAACATCGAACTAAAGGTACTTCTGAATCTAGCTGACTAAAAACACAGATGAAAGAAAATAATTTTGATTAGAAAGTGATTATGATTATTCTAGAGAAAAAAAAAAATGAACATAGGGCTTGAAAGATTTTTTGAAAAGAAAATTAAAAGAACTCTGAATTTTTTTCAAATGATAGGCTCTTTATTTTTGCCAAAGTTTAAAAAATGTTGGCCAGCATCTGGTCTTTTGTTGGTGACTGAGACTTCTTTGAGAGACAGATTAGTGAATTTTGATAATTAGTTTTAAATTTGATATAAACAAAAAATGAGAGTTTGAGAATTCTAAACAAAAATCCTTTTTTTTACTGTCTGAAGAGTTATCACTGTCTACATTATTATTGTACTCATCTTTGTTATTATCATAATATAACAACTTTTCAGCCTCCCAGCCTTCTTCAGATGTTTGTTGATTCAGGTAACCTTCAGGAAATTTTGAACTGATCTCTTTATTTAATCTAAGAGGATACTGGTTCTATTGTCCATGTCTAGGGTTACCATGCCTTATTTAGTACTGCTCAATTATTGTTTGCCCAAGTCTAGATTTGCACTACTCAGCCCAGGAATTGAACTCACAATTACTATATCACCAAATTGATGAACCAATGCTTTAATCCACTAGTCATTGATCTGTAAATAATGTAAACAACAAGAATTCTTTTCAGTTAAGATTTTTTCTTTGGCCAAAAATGAATTTACCCTATTGATCCAATGATCAATTCTCTCTTACATGATAACTGGACAGAGGAATGATTGGCCAAATTTGAGATAGCATTGGCAATTAGCATTTACTAAGAAATAAAAATTGTTAATCAAAAAGCCAAAGAGTCTCAAGATGCTACCCACCTACTCCAGGGTTCTCAATATTCAATTTTGACCCTCAGGCAGTTGAGGTTGGAACCAGACTGTTGAGGCACTGCTTAACAACCCTTTGACAGGGCATTATAACTTATGTGTATTTTAAATGGGTCAATATTATACATAATTGTCTTTTCTCCAAAGTGGGTGGATCGTTTCTGTTTAATTAGAAGTAAGAACAAAACCAAATTGTTTTTTCTCCGAAATAATGTTGATTTTCTTTTTCTTTCACAGCCAACATGAGGATATTTCTAAAGATAATATTTATATTTTATTAGGCAAACTTCAAAATGCTATTTAAAAGAATTTCAACATTAAAAGAAGTTTAAAACTAAATCTTGTGAAAAAACCAAGCACAGAGAAAATGTCTACATATATAATCCCAGTGTAAGTAAATAGTAAGTATTGATTAAAAATAAAAGAATATTCAATTTGAATTTCAAAATTTTAATCTAATAAAATCAAGACCTGGTTGGAAAACAAAAGTTACTAATATTCAGTGAAGTGATAAACTAAACAAAATAAAAATACAAGATCAATATCACATTATTAATAATAATAATATTGATTACTCAAGAATTCAGTTAATAAGCTTCACTAAACATAAATGATTAATACATTATTATACAAGTATGAATTTTTTCCATATAAAAAAAAAATATATATATATATATATATTTACTTGAAGACTAAATAAAACAAAAAATACACATGTAGCCTATATTCTGTGAGCAGCTGAAGTTACCGCTTATAAATTTGATGATGAGCTTAGCAGCAGGACAGGAAGATAGAAATGTGGAAAAGAGCCAAGTGGTCCAAAGTAAAATGAGGTTATCAATTGCAGACCAGCAGTGCAAAACAATTTAGAGTTGGTGAATTGAAAGAGATGGTGAAACGAATTTTCACTTACAGACAAAAAGAAATGGAAGCTAGCCAAACTAGAACTATTTTAAAATTTAACCTCACTTCAAGAAGACTTCAAAAGAAATTATGAACACTTAATTTGAATGCAAGCCATAAGTCAAATTATTTTCATAAATTGAAGTGTAGAGCATTAGTAATAACATCCAAATGATTAAAGGGAAAAAAAAAAAAAATTGTTTTGTCTTACTGCAATATTATGAAAAAATACAATTTTAAGCAAAAAAGAAAAATGATTATTCAATTAACTAATTTGATATTTAAGTGAGAAAAATTATTTAAAAACTATTGTAATATTTATGCATCTTTAATTTTATGACAAAAAATAACTATATTGCTAAACATGATTAAGTTAAAACAAAAAAAAAAAAAAACTTGTCAAAATTTCTAATTTGAAATTGGTCAAATTAGGTTTCATTTGTTACTTCATTATTTAAAAGAAAACACTTCTGTACAAGTTACAAATAGTAAAGTTACAGAAAATTTGTAACTTATTTGACATGACAGTTCTTAAATGAAATGGCATTTCAACATTTTTTATAGTTCAAGTTAAATTCGAATAATGGTAAATGAAATTCTTCAATAACCAAGTATTTCTAATTTTAAACAGAAAACGAATCTAAAAGGAAATAGATATTTTTTTAGCTTAAGTAAAACTTTTATAAGAATTTAAAATGATTTTTTGCCGAACGAATGAAAAAGAAATGATCAACGATCAAAATTCAATGTAAAAACATGTTAGTTTTTCATTCATTAACAATTAACAGTAACACTGATGCTTAAAAAAGGAAAATATTAAAAATAGTGACATATGACTATCCAAACAGTATTTTAATAACCTAATTAAAAATTTGAACTTTGAGTTTTATTATTTTTTTTAAAAACCATAATTTTCATAAGTTTCAATTGTACATTTGTTAGTTAACTTTACATTTTGGAATTACATAGCAATTGAGGTACCAAATTTAATTCATGAAAAAAATAGCCTGTAATGTACAAAATTACAATTACTTGTAAAAATTAAGGAATGACAATTATTTTTTATTTTTAAATATTTAATTTCAAATTTAAATTAGTACTTGTTCAAAATTTATAAATCCAGCTGTTGTAAGTAACAAAATCAAGTGGTCAAGGTGCAGACAGCAGCACGTACATGATTAGAAAAATAAAAGCTCTTATTTATCACTAAATTTATCAAATATTCTATTTCTGTATATTTTATCATACTACTTTACAAAACTAATAGCGATAGAAGACAGAAAGAAAAAAAAAAAGAAAAATACCGGTAAGGAAGCCAACACAAAATAAAGTTTGTTTTTTCTTTTTTTTTTTTTTTTAATAAAGCACTGTCAACACAAAACTTAGTACTCTCACTCATAACATGGAAAAAAATTAATTTTGAAAATGTTTAAATAAATTTGAATTTCAAATGCTACTTAAAAATATATGTACAAGTTTTTAGAGGAAATATTTTCCACGTCTTATCAAAATAGAAAAAGATGTTTAGTTTATTAAATAAATTTAAATTAATTCTTTTTATAAAGAAAGTAGACAGCGGATAAAATTTAAAAAAAAAAGTTTTTTAAAAAAGTTACTTAGTTGTAATAAATAATGTAACATTTTATTTTTAAAACCAAATCCAAAACCACTACAAAAAGAACTGTGACTGGAAACACGTTTTTTCTGCTTTTAACAAAAATTTAAACTTTAAAGGAAAAAAAAGTTTCCTTCGTTCTTTTCTTTTGAATATTATTTTTTAAAATTAACATCAAAGCAAAAATAACAAGTATCACTTTTTAGTTTCACTATATTTAAATTCAAAATAATCGGATGAAGGAACAGCTGTTTTCATCCAACCTACAATGATGACGTTGCATTCATGCGTGTATCAACGTTTCAGTGTAAAAGATTCTTAACGAAGTCGCCAATTCTATTTAGTCGCAACAACAGCAGATGCTTCCAGCAGTGATGCTCACCTTTCACAAAGTGCTTAGGCATACGATCCAACTGATTCTTCTTGTTAGATTTCTGCGAGGGTTCATTTTTGGTTTTCTTGGTTTTGTTGCTTCGGACAACTTCCCAATTGCCGTCTGCTGCCACCTCTGTTGTCGCCATTTTGAAAATTGAGTGCAACGTGGGGCCCGAGCCTGTTGATGACGTCACCACACCGGACGAGATTTTTAAACAGAAAGTAGCCAACCAACATGCTTTCTTAGCCTTATGAATGAATCAATCAATGTGGGTGGGTGAACTTAAACTACATGTGGAACATAATTTAAATTATTGAACAAGCCAACAGGCCTGGTATTCAAATGGATATTTTTTTAAAATATATTTCTGATGCTTTACAACATTTGAGCTGGTATTTTCTTCGACACTCTTCAAATGAAAACCGAAGTAGAACTCAAATCATGACAACAACCATATCAACAAAGCTTTGCATGGGACATTTACCTGAAGATGACGGGTGAATCAACCAGGTGAATCGTTGTGAAAGAAAACAAACAAGTCATGAAAATTGCATACGATGTTTGTTAAACAAAATGACCAACGTTTCATTCCATATGCACTCCTATAGTAGATTGCAGGGAGTAGTCAGTAGTAGTAGTTCATCGTAGTTCGGTAAGAAAGGAGTCTGGTGCAGGACTTTTGTAAGATCCCAGAAAAAGTTAGTATATATTGAAAGAACATTCACGTTCATTTTGTATGAACCTTTATAGCACATGGCATAAAACAGTTATGGATAAAAAATATGATAACTAATGGAGATAGAAATCCCCAACTGCCATGAAATTCTTACCCCTTAAATCTCAGAGGCTATGATTGCTGATGACAATTTTTCACAGTGAAGGGTAATTTTAATTTCAAAACAGTTCAACAAACAGTTCTTGCACTTGCTTTTCAATTATCATTCTAACATGTAAAAACTGCAATAAACACATTAACAATTTCCTCTGAGATGTGCAATTGTTGATATAATTTAGTAGATCAAGGAACTGTGGCCGACTTCCACCACATTTATTTAATTTTGATTAGGAAACCAAACTGATGTGAAGAAAGGACAAGGCAAAGGTATCATTATATATAAAAATTGTATTCAACAATGTATACAATAAAGAATGTGTAAAAAAAAAGCATGTAATGAGTAAGACGAGAGTTGTCTCTCTTTGACTATCATTGTCTATCAAAGTTCTCTGAAAAGAAAGAGTTAATAGTTTGTAATAAATGTTTTTTAACAGTTTTGCTGTGCAAGAGGAAAAATTATCTAAGAGTAAGGAATATGCAGTTTGTGAGTATTGAGTGAGAAGATCGGCACATAGCTTCAACTGTTGTGGATTTCTGTGGCAGCTGAAGTCTCACTGGTGTGTCTACACTTTTTTCTTGCTTTTATAGGTGATCATTGGATCAGAAGTGCTGTGCGGGAAGAATCACTCTTCACATGCAGACAATCCAATTGGTTGACTCTGACCAATCAATGAATGAGCTTTGGGGAGATCTCTGGGAGCCGATTCTCCCAAAAGTGCACAAAATCTACTATACAAAAATATAGTGATTTCAAATATTGTCGCATAAGACAGTAGCATTGATTTCTATCCAAAGAATGATTGTTATTGAGATTTGAATTTGTATAGGTATGTATGTGTGTGTGTGTGCAATGATCACTATAGAACTATAAGATGGTTATATAAATTCACATTAATTGACAGAAAGATTTTCAGTTTATATTGAATCACCCATTCACTTAGCAACCTTTACAGTTCACATACATTAAAATTATCAATTAACTAAAGACCAATGTTTATTAATATGGACAATTTTAAGATTCAAAACCAGCTACACTGTTACCATAAACTAATGCAAGAGAAATATCTTACCTTAAAAAACAGGATAAAATGTACTTTATCCCAACAATCAGTTTTATACTTGTGAAATTCACAAATATTTAAAATAGTTATAAAATGTTTTACTCATAAAACATCAATTTAAAATTCAGAATTGCATTTACTATATTTACAAGTATATAATATGCACAATTAAATGAAAAGAAAAACTATGCAAACATTACATAGCATTCAATGCATTGACATTATAATGAAGGAACCAACTACCAAAGCTCAAAATGGGTTGCAGAAAGTAGTAGTTTCTCAAATTCTACTTTTGTAAACAATACATTTATAGTAGAACTAAGAATCATAGTCACCATTAGTATAGTCAATAAACTTCCAATAATTGGTCAAATTCACAACTAGATTAAATTTATGTTACAGTTGGAATTTTATTTAGTACATTGTGATTAATTAGGCACATCACTATAAGGTCAGAGGTTATTTGATGAAGAACTAAATGTAATTTCATTTTCAATTTTAATATTGCAGAGAGAGACAAAACAATTTTATATGATCAAGAATTCAGAAAATAATAAATGAAAAGTTTGTCTTAATTTATTTCAGTGGTGGTTTCTTGCAGTGATGGGTCAACATCAAACAGAATTTTACCATGGGAAGATAATATCCAGTTAAAAGTTGGTCATTAATATGCACATTGCATAGTGGTTATTGCCATAGAAAATGGGATTGACATGTTAAGTTTAAATTCATGCCAAGGCTGTTGTGTTTACTTTTAAATAAATACCCTTGGAAAAATATTGTGGCCTTGTTGTGTGCTTTGCTGAATGCCACTTTTTGGTCCATCTGCACCAATCCTGCATCCCCACACTGTTTCAGTATCCACAGGATTATCGGTGAACAACTGTTGACGATCTCTGTCCTGGCTATGCTTGTGAAAGACTAAGGTCACCAGTGTCACTGGTAAACTTAATTAACTTCAACAACACTTATTAACAAGTGTAAAAATAACAACTTTTATTTATGGTACTATGATTGGTTAAGATCATGAATACATAAACAAAAAGGATTTAAAGAAGTTTCCTCATATAAGAAATTCTTAAGCTGAGAGGAAAAGGTTGACTGGCAGTTGCAGTTATGGCTAAACAGTCCAGAGTCATTCAACTATATAAATGAAAACATGTCTTTAGCTGATTGAGGCACAACGATCATCCAACAGGGAGAGTGTTGGTCTACTAATGGTGTAACCAGTTTGATATTTTTTTCTGCTCTTTTGGCAAATGCTTTTGTATGGGTAAACCCCAATTGCACTGCTCCAGTTGGCTAGCCAATAATAATGCTTGACCAATGGTCTTGTGTCATACACATTGAAGGTGAGAATTAAATCTGTACCTAACAACCAATCCTACCCAAGCTTACATTTTCACCTTTCACACTATACCCCATGTGGCACAAACCAAACAAATTCATGGTATCACATTGTTTTAACATGAAAAATATTTTTCTTTCTTTAGAAATAAAAGTTAGATTGCCAGTCAAACTTTGACACCAGTCATGGTGTCATATTATGAATTCATCTCTTCTCTCTGCATCTAGGAGTTAATAGCAGGTTAAATTGCACTCTCTAGCTTTCATTGCCAAGCTGTCTATGAGTAGAATAACTCTGAATTTAAAACTGGTTGGACATGAGACCAACAATTCTACTCTGTAAAAACCTACAGAAAACAGAGACCACAGCAGCAACACCAAATGTCTTAAGGCAGTCATCCTATATTCCAACAGAGGAATCTATAGAGTGGTTTGGACTTTAGGTTAATTTGAACAACAATCAATGAGGATAAAATGATTCTGAGAATTTAGAGTAATTCTTCTCATGTAGTGTGTTTCATTGTCTTAAATTTTTTTTTTTAAGTATTTCACTCCAAGCAAGGCAGGAGTGCCACTAGCACACAAGGGGTTGCAGAGAGTGGGAGCAAGAGTAAATAGAGGAAAGAATGAAGATAAGGATGGAGAATAGATCAAGGCATCTGGAGCACATAAATATGATGGACAGAAAAAATACAAATGCACATAATAGAGGAAGATGAAATCAGTTACCACTGCAATACAGGCTAGATACCAGCATCTATGATTAAAGTATGTGCTGGAATTGTGGGTCTGATAGGTCCATATGACCTCCCGGCCTGTTGTACAGGAGCTGTCTACAGGGACTTTATTTTGAACACACTTTCAAACCTGCTAAGAGATGTAACACTGCTAATATGAAGACACATGTGGTTCATGCATGATAGTGCTGCAGAGCATTTTAGTCACATTGTTCGCAATGCACTGGCTGACATCTACCATGAAAGATGGATAGGTAGAGGAGGAACAGTCCCATGGCTAGCATTTTCCCCCAACCACAGTCCTTTGGATTTTTATTTGTGAGGCCACCTAAAACAATTGGTTTATGCAACAGGTATCAATAATGCAGAAATGCTTCATCAGCATGTCATGTGGGCCTGCAAAGTCATTTGACACCATATGGGAGTATTTGAAAAGGTTCACCAGTCAATGATTAGATGGGTGCATGTGTTTATAGAAGCAAGTGGAGGACATTTTGAACATTTGTTATGAGTTGCTGTGTTGAGGTACAACGATGGCCTGTTGGACATATGTTTACATGGATATTTTACCTAGTTTTGGTGTCAAGAACCCACCCCAAAAGTTTGTAAAAGTATTTTTTTTAATACAATATATATATATATATATATATATATATATATATATATATATATATATATATATATATATATAATAAAAAAGGCTTAAACACTAATATTTTATATATAATAAAAAGTTTAAACACTAATATTCCATGGAATATTAGTGTTTAAGCCTTTTATTATATCCTTACTCTGTCCTGGACATTGAGTTCTACCTGGATTCTATCCTCTTGGAATTTTTTTTTTGTACAAAATATATATGTATGTGTGTGCATGTATATATATATATTTATATATTTTGTATATATATGTGTATATTTACCACTAATATTATATATATATATATATATATATATATATATATATATATATATATATATATACTAGAAAAAAAAATGGTACTCAGGGACAAATATTCAAATTGTTTCTCTGAGTTTTATGTTAAGTGATCATGAGATGACAAAAACAATCACTTAGCATGAAACAATTTTATCTGAGATCCTAAATGCTGTTTGATATTTATTAGTGTTACTGCTCTGTGCTGTCTTGCTTTAATTTCTATAGG